CTTTTAATTCTTTTTATCTTTTCACTTTATTTTTCTATTCATTTTTATTCTTTATTGATAATATTTAGTTAGTTTGCATACAAGCTACCACAGGAGATCTTTAGAACCTTTAGTGAACTCCATTAATTGTAATTCATTCAGTCTTTGTTCTTTCACTGTTATGTTACTTTGTTAATTCATTAATTTCAACAATTTTTGAATTAACGAGAACAGTAACATTAAAGCAAGTGATGTATAATCATCAAGTGAATGAGTGATATATAATCATTAAGCGAGCACTTTTTGTAACTATAATATCAATCAAAAATAGCTTTAATATTTAAAGATTAAATAACAATAACTTGTATAAATATAATATGTATCTTAGCTTAAAAATATAATCTTTTTAGAATTAATCTTCTTACACTTTAATAATTATTCACTTTTGAATCTTCTTATTCACTTTAATTTTCTTTTAACAAAATCTTCTTAGAAGCGAGTCATATTATAAATCTTGAATTGAAGATTTTCAGTCAAGCATTAATTAGTTCTTTTCTTTCTTATTTGTATTTTTTTATATTTAAAAGATCTTTCATTTGTAACAAGTGATATCATCTATAATAATATAATTAATCTCTTGTTACTAATCTGCAAAGTTAATTAATATTATTTAGATTTATAATAAAAGAAGAAAATAATTTTATTAAAAAGTTAATCAATAAAAGAAGATTATTTAATAACTAAATTATTTGAATTAAAAGAAGATTTCTGAACTCATCCTAGTAGTTTAACAAAATAAACATGACATTATCTATCTTTATTAAATTAATCTCTCCCAACCTTAATTACTTAAAATATATAAAAGCCTTTAATAACTCTTTTACCTGATTGAAACATGTGAAGAACACATGATCTATATCTAAAAGATAATAAAACCAACAGAAATGGTAACAAAATTATATTTATTTCTATTTAGTTATATTATTAATTACACAATAGTTAAAAAAGCATGAAATGCTAAAAAAGATAAAAAAATTATAAAAGATAAAATAGCATGAAATGATAAATTAGAGATAAAAGATATTTAATTTATTGTGAGGGATCATGATGAAAAAATAGATTATTGGTCAGAATTATTGACAATTTCTTATAATAAAAGAGCAATATTTTGAAAATAATGAGATATGCATAAAATATATAATTTAAATTAAGTTTGCAATAATATTTATATTGGTAACTACTATATAAATTTATGAGTATAATTGGTATTCATATTTTATTATAATAGATATTGCAAATTTTCAACATAATTCACATTTATAGGTCATATTACACACTCGGAAAATTGATCTCCGACTCCAGTGGCGGATCGCATTCCAGAATGAATATCAGACATGGATACAACGCTTTAACCCATCCTCGAAGTTGGCATATGAAAACAATAAAGAGAGATGTCATTTTTTTGCCGATTCAATTTTTCAACGCAGTCATCAAAACTCGTGCGTTCTTCATCTCGTCTTCACCGAAATAATATTATACCTCTACCGTCATTACATCCATCGTTATTGTATCTTTCAACAAATTTTTTGACTGCCGATACCACTTCAAAATATAACCAAAGATTTTACAGCGATAAAAATATTCGAGTATTCGATTTTAGAAGTGATACTTGTAAGAAATTTTTTGAAATTTATAAACTTTTTATATTGAGTATATGTATGTAATAAATAAATAGCAACGTATCCGACCGATGAAATGTTTGATGTTATGCGTATTGCATCAAGAGGCGACGATGTGCATAACGTATGTATTTTAACTTGGCTAATCTATGTAATATAATATTGATAAATGATATTCGGATGTATGTGTTACAGGAGGATAAGACGACCAAAGAACTTGAAACATATGTTGCCGAATTAACAGGCTGTGAAGCTGGATTATTTGCTGTATCATCAACTATGGTTTTGTTACATTAAGACATTATCTATTTCTTTTTTGTCCATATGGCCAATTGATTAACTAAATCATCTTAAAGACAAATCAACTCGCTATTCGAACACATCTTACACAACCACCACATTCCGTTCTACTAGACATCCGTTCGCACATCTACAAATACGAAGTAGGCGGACTAGCATCACTCTCTCAAGCACTGGCAATCCCCGTCGAACCACTAAACAAAAATCACTTAACCGCCCACGAGATAAAGTCAAACGTTATAAGCGACGAAATTCATCGGGCTCCGACGCGTTTGGTTTGTCTAGAAAATACACTCGACGGGGTTATTTTTCCTTTTTCGGAGATTATACAAATTTCGAGAATCGCACGTGAGCAAGGGATCAAATTACATTTGGATGGGGCACGGTTATGGAATGCGTCGGCAGAGACGGGAATTTCGTTGAAGCAATATGGGCAGTGTTTTGATTCGATAACGTTGTGCTTGTCGAAAGGTATTGGCGCGCCGATTGGGTCAATATTGGTTGGGGATCAAAAGTTTATTAATAAGGCACGTCACTTTCGAAAGCAGTTTGGTGGCGGGTAAGTTATTATTTATCTTTATTTTTACTGGCAACACTCGCTCATCCTGGGTATAATCTAAAAATAATCAACAGTTGGCGTCAATCGGGATTACTGGCTGCAGCTGCCAATTTTGCTATCCAAAAAACTTACCCAGATCTACTAAAGGAAACACACATACTGGCCCGTCATCTCGCCAAAGGACTTCAAAATCACGGTATCCTTATACTGAAACCAGTCGACACAAATATGATTTTTATCGACACTAAGCCCACCAATTTACCAATTACACGATTGATGAGAAAACTAGCGGAACACGATATTTTGATTAGAGATAGTCCGGGAACCACCACAAGATTAGTGTTGCATTATCAAATAACACGAGAAGCTGTTGATAAATTTCTTTGGGTTGTTGGTGAAGTAGTTGGCTGAATAAAAATACTTGACAACATTGATAATAACAAGAACATTATTGAATAGTAGCAATAAAGCTAATGAATTAAGATTATCTTTTATACTTTATTAACTGTTAGGCTGCAAATTGATAGTATAAAAAGATCGAATAATCGTTTTGTGATTGCTATTTTTAAAGGTAATATTTTATATCTTTTTTTGGAATTACAAGAATTCTAATTGTATTTTTAGAGTACCATGAAAAGAACCCCTTCTAATTCACGGAAAAAATTAGGACCGATCTTCCTTTTATGATTTTTACAATTGGAATTCTTGCAATTGCTTCTTTCCCTCCATCTCCAGGCGCTAATATAAGTTAATAAAAAAAAAAAATGAGTACATTTATCATCATTATCAAGATAAACTAAGAATGTTCATATGTAACATTTATGTAATACATATGGCCACGAAGTGCTTTCAATTCTCCTAGTGGCAGCGTAACTTCAGATACATAACATTCTATTCCTACATCTCTTAAAATATTGTTCGAACAAGTTTCCTTTAATAATAAACATAACATTTGTTTCAATACCTTGTGACTGCAGAACTCATATCGATCATTTTATCATCGAACATGCATAGCTCCTCAATTCCATTCGGAATTTACTAATTTCATTTTGCGCGGGCGTGTGCTCGTGAATGAAAACACAAATTAAGGTAAGTAAAGAGACAAGAGAGTAAAATACATCACGATCATACAACTCGAAATCTAATAAGTCTAAAAAATCGGAAGCTGGCATAGCCAGAGAAATACTGTTACCAGTCATTTCGAGTGTTAAGGTTGTGTCTGTTCGAGACTAAACTAAATAGACGACCACACCGCATCCATAAGAATAATACAGAATTAGTTAGATAGATCCATAAAATACAAGATGGCGATAACTGCAGCGTGTGTTTCATCAGTATATAAAATAAGAATAGTACACATAATGATTCATTTGATCGGCCAATTTGATTGTTATATCGTTTGAATTTTATAACAATCTATTATGCCCAACCAATGGGTCCCATATAAGGACCTCGTCTATTGGTTAGATATAGTAAACTATTATAAACAATATAAAAAATCAAATCGGCTAATAAGTTAAGAGAAGCGCACAAAACGTCAAAAATGCCGTCATCGCTCCCATTTAAGAGGTAGAAGGTGCACCACGTCAGACTAAGAGAAACACACATGACGTTAAAATGATATTGTTCTTGCTCCCATCGGGGAGCAGAGGGCGTACAAAAACACGCACAACATCTAAAACGTCATCCTCCGTCCGTCAGGAAGTAGGGAGTGCGCAACATCAGAGTCAGAGAGAGGCACACAGGACGCTCAAACAATGCTATCCTCGAGGAGAGGGTGTGCATCTAAAACGCCCATCATCGCTCACATTAGGAAGTAGAAGGTGCGCAACATCGAAAAAAATAATTAAATTTTCATCATAAACACCTTCGATAAGTAAATAAGCTTTTCAGAGACTGACCTTTGTCCCAAATTTTTGCGTTCTTCTGTGTTTACACTGCGCATTGCTTCAAATATACCCCTAAACCATCTATTGAATGCTTCTAGTTTTTTAATAGCAACTATTAACAGTTTAACAAGAACGCGTTTAACCATGTGAAATCCAGTTTAGGACTCGGTCTTTGCAAATTCAGGTTACTTTCTTAATACATACCATTAAAGTCACGTTTAGTCTAATACACAAATTTCGGACAGGTATATAAATACACAAGAGGTTGGTTGAAAGAAGGTTGCAAAAAAAGATAGCACGAAAAAATTTTAACAAACGAAAACATTTATTTTTGAATTTTTTGTGTTACACATTGATCTTGCAATTTAATTGGTCATCATAGCTGACATCATCAAAAAATTACCACGCGCCCTGGTGGTAATTTTTAAGGGGATCGGAATCACATGATCTGCCCTTTTTTTCGCGATCTTATCAAAAGATCAGGATCGGGGTTTTGCGAAAAAATGAAAAGAAAAGAAAATGAGCTTGGAGGAGGTAAAAGAACTTTGCGTCGACTAAATGGCTTTCTTTACATTATACTGGGAATATCTCGTTATTTAATGTTATTCTTTTAACGCACCAATTTCAGACACTTGTAAAAGAATTCGGTTCGTGGATACAACTTCGACTGATAATATAGCAGAACAAGGTTGATGAGCAAAATCATTTGTTCTTGCAATTATAACTGTATTTTTCGCAAATATGAAATTAAATTACTTAATTACATTGAAATAAAACCTGGCTAATTGCTTCATTAACTGATTAACCCCTTAATTCTGTGAAAAGAAATCAATAACAACGAAAATGACAACACTCTATACTCCAGAATCCGTCTCGAGATCATGGACTGCATGCCCCTATTAGAAGCCGAGCAAATCATTGATGCGTTACTGACGTTAAATTCTTGTGCTAGATGTGTGTTTCGGTTTTTGGGTATTTTTAGCTATGATTATTATTGTGCTGATGAAGAGGTGAATATTCGTTATCATAGATAGATATTAAACTGAATATATATTTTATATTAACGTGATTAATTCTAGGATCTTTTGGAAATACTTTATCGAATTCGATTAGAAGTAAATCCTAAAGTTCCCGACAGTAACATTGTCGAGAATAATAATATTAGTAATAATAAGGATAACGACTTAGAATTGTCTACTCCACAAAATTCACCCACTATCTCCCGCTCTCTTCAAACCACCGAAAATAAACCAATATGCGTCACATGTTTCGACCTTCTCTATTACGCCGATACTTTACAATATGTGAATCATATTTCAGGAAAACTACAATCGCAGAATTACGAAACCAAAGATTTTGACTTGATTCCTACGCTGCCAATAAGTCTGATATTAAGAACTCATTCAACAAAAATTTATATTAAAAAAGTGTTAAGGTGACGTTTTATTCAATCAAATTACTCGATATTTTTGTGAGTTTCTGATATTTGACATATAAAACCTAAAAAATAAAACAAATAAATTTTTAGTGAAAAGAACTATGAATATAAATTATTGTATCCTGTTGATTTGGTGAAGGTATTCAAGCATCTTTTAACTGGATCTTTCGAGAAAACGACAGGACTGACATATTCGACTGAGAGTCTATTGAAAATCAAAATTGAATATATACACGATGGTACACGTAATAGTCATTTGTTTCTTACTAAAATACCGGAGGCTAATTTCTCAATTAAGCGAATAAAAGGAAATAAGGTATTTGGTTAATTTCTTTAATTCTTGATTTGAGAAATTTTTATTCACGTGTGTCGACCACTCTGAGAATAATAACATAAATCATTCATTGAACCAACCATAATAATGTAAGGGTCAAGGTGGATATTCACGTAAGCAGATTATAGATGCTTTGAAAAAAGTTCGGGATGAAAGATATGTAGAGTATGTGTTTTTCAGGATTCAATTTTCTATTTAATTTTATTCAACCTTTATTCAACTTTTATACAATTTTCATTCAATTTATAGTTAATTCAATATTTCCATATCTAATTAAACAAATTGAATCGCTAGATTTGACAGCTGTCCACCGTTAGAAGTAAAAACCAGAGTGAAACAACTAGATCCAGTAATCAAGCACGAATCTGTGTACATGGGAGGTAAGTTGTTTTCATGTTTTGCAAATAATGTAATTTTTACAAGCTTAAATAAACAGATAATATTTATACGGTAATATATAATGAATATAGGCAGATACACAAAATTTTCTCGTAACCTTCCACAAACACCGTGGATCATCAACGGAGTCCGTCTAAAAGAAGGATCAGTCGCCGAAATTATCGGTATAAAAATAAAACAATTATTCAGAGCGGACGATTATACGTTCGTTCCGTCCGGCCGTGAAGATTTTGACGTACGTATGTTAGGCAATGGACGCCCATTTTATATTGAATTGAAGAACCCACGTCGGGCTGCGTCTTCCCTTTTTTCACAAGAAATAAGTGAAGTGCAGAATCAGATTAATTTGGCTGATGATGCTAGAGAAATAGTTCGAGTCTACGATTTGGCTATGGTTAAGCAGTATGTATATATTATTTTTTAGGTTTATGCAAGTTATATATAGATGCGAAAATGAATAATCCAATTTTTTTATCTCTTAGAAGTGAACTGCATTATATAAAGCAAGGCGAGGATAATAAAACTAAGACATATAGGTTTGCTTTTAATAAATTAACTACAAAGTTCACGCGTCTATGCATAATTTTAAACTCTTTCTCTCATGATATATTCAAATGTAGTGCACTTGTATGCATCTCAAAACAAATCACCCCAGAGATCCTTGACAGCATAAACAAATACAAAACAACCGGACTAACAATCAATCAGAAAACGCCAATCAGAGTATTACAAAGACGCACGAATATGGTACGGCAGCGACAGATTTATGAGATTGAAGCGAGAGCATTGGAAGGACAGTTTATGGTTGTTGGATTGGTTACTGCACCCGGAACGTATGTACCAGCAACCATTTATTAGCTCATCCTTTATAACGAGTCTCAATTTATCTCACTAAACTTTACAAATAGCTATATCAAAGAATTTATTCACGGCGATCTCGGCAAGACATCCCCGAACCTAAGTTCAATAATTGGTTGTACTGCCGATATTTTAGAATTGGATGTACTGAATGTGGATTTGGAGTGGCCGCCACCTCCAATTTCCAACACTATCGCCACCAAGAACAATGATGCGAATACGTCCGACGATTGAAAATTTAAATTATTTTTGTTAGTGTAACAGTGGATTGTATAACAGAGATTGATACAAATCTTAGAAAAACAAGGACAATTCATTGCTGTCAATACTAATGGATTTTCTTTCAATGTTTTATCGTAATAATTATCAAGAAATCCTTTGAACGATGGAAGATCAATGTTTGTAAAAATCACATTTATTTCTTCTATAAACTACAGGCTTCATATAAAAGACCAAGCAATAGTTGTTTGTACTTTTCTGAAAGTCGTGACTATGAAAAGAAGAAAGTCATGCTGTTAGACTTGTACTATTCATTTGCAAACGTGTCATTTTTTCATTTCATATGAAATAGTAAATTCAATTAGTATTGATCCTATAATATCGTTACACCAAAGAAAATTTATTGATTAGTCATCTTATCGTCATTTTGCATATCGATATGTATCGATACGATTTAAAGATCACTCTAAATTCTACTTGGTATTTTCGTTATACATCTCTTGCTTTGATATGTCAGCGAACACATCGACAACGCCAGAAGTGACACCAGGAGCAACAACAGCAGAAGTAACGACAACACCCGCAACAGCAGCAACACTACCAGTATCAACAGCAAAACAAGTAATATATTGTGGAGGTAGTGGAAAACTTTCTTTTGTTATTAATGCTGATTTCGAATCTAACCTCAATCATAAGCTCCTCCTTTCAATTTTTTTAATTCCTTAAATTCGTCGAATAGTTTGTACATTACCACCAGAGGTAACTAAAAAAAGTTTGCTTTTCCTTAATTTCCATCAAATCTAATTTAATTCAACTCAAATTACAGTACTGTGAATTCGGGCCAACACTCGATAAATGTAAACAATGGCTACAGGAAAATCACTCGGAACTTTACGAGAAACTACATCCTACTTGTGAGTAGTTGCTATATAACAAATAGATATTTATGATTTATGTACTTAAGCGATATTCAACGATAATCAACATTAGCAGCCATTGAAGAGCAACTAGCAGGAACTTCGTTAAAGGAGCCAAATAAACAAAGTAATGACAGCGAAGAGAAGAAAAAAGCTAAAGGTTTGGTTTCATTTTGTTGTGTTGTGTAAATAATCTTTGATCATGTGTGTTAAAATTTATCGTTCTTGGTCAATTAATAGAGGCCGCTAAAATAGAGAGGGAACTAAAGAAAAAAAGAGTGACTATTTTTTTTTGTTTTTTATTTTTTATTTTTATAAAAATAAATCAAGAAATAAAAAAATTGAAATAATCAGGCTTCAAAAATAATAATTACGCGAATCGCCCGAAATAAACGGAAATGCGTGACGAGTGTCTATGGACTAGAAAATTTTGGTATGTGATTTGTTCAATTCTAATCTTTTGATATACCTTTGTAAATACTAAATAAACAAAATAATCTAGATATTGACCTAAAAAAAGCCGCGAAATCATTCGCATCAAAGTTCGCCTGTGGATCATCAGTAGTGAAAAATAATATAGGGAATGATGAAATAGTGGTGCAAGGCGACGTGTCAGAAGATCTGGTAGACTTTATACTGGAGACGTGGCCAGTTGTAAGTATTTCGTCATTATTAGTATCCCACAAACTATATAATTATTGACGATGATCCTTCCCTTTGTTTTTTCTAAAAAAATAATTAGGTCCCAGAAAGTAATCTGGAACTGACAGAAGAAAAGAAATCAAAAAAATAGCAATAATACTAATAATATAATACAACTATAGACTTTAAAATATCGATTTATTGTAACAATTATAATGTAGACTATAAAAATAAACTTTACAATAATAGATAATTCACCTCACACCCAATACAATACAGCCATTAATCCACATCATGTTGCTTAAAATTCCATAGTCCGTTGTTGGGCAGCTTAATTATTATAATAAAACAATTAATTCGATTAGTATAGTCATCTCTAATGTCAAACATTCTAGTACGTACCTCGTCTTCTGATCCGTGCATCTTTTAAAACCTCTTGAACAAAATCCTCAAAATACTTTACGTACGGCTTTAACGAAGTTTTTTCATAATCTGTAGAAGTAATACATCTTTACGCTCGTGTATCATCAAACAAAAAAAAACATAAAAAAGCTGACCACTCATTTTCCGCTCGCCCGACTGTACAGGATGCCTTTCATTCCATTGAGACATTTCATAAATAATTGTAGAGACTGTGGGAACTTTAGTTGGATCGAAATTTTCAAAATCATCAGGAGGAATAGGGACGCATACTCGTCCTACATTAATAACAATAGTAATTAATAAATTTACAATTTTACCCAGCTAAGAGACATGAAAATAATTGTGATGAGATCTTAATGCAGGGACTAATGCTGGTTACCGGTTGATGGGTGAATACAAAATGGACTTTTCAGCAAATGGTTTATGTGTGCCGAGACATTTTCATCAAGCCGCGGATAAATGTACTGGAACTGAATCTCTCGTTTGATGGTTTCTAATGCTTCAGCTCGTTTACTGGCAACTTCCTAATCCGACGATGTAATAATAATCATAAATAAAAATCGATAAGACTTCTCTATTTCAATTATATATATATTTTCATACCTTACTAATGTTTTTACCCGGCAAATAAACAGCATTCTGTAACGCTTGCATTAGATCGTCCCATTTTAATGTAGAATCACGTGACGGTGTTGTCTCCCATTTTTCATTCAACACATCTCTAATAGCTTTTTTTTTTAAATAATCAAAGAACTCGGTAAAAAATAAGAAAAAATGTGTTTAGGAATGATCATATTAATGACCTTCTTCAGGGATGCACTTTAAAAGCTTGGTCCATCGTTCTGGCGTGTCCATCACATCTTGATTTTCTAATGCTAATACCGTGAAATAATGGTCCACTATTCTATATGCTCGTCTATTTTTATGTGAAATATTAAAAAACATTCAGATTGTGATTGTGGTAACGGAAGTCTTGATAACTAACTTACTCTAATGAAGGATGAAATGGTCTAGATAAGAATACTTTTTTTTCTTGTTGAGAGCCTCCCTGTTAATCAAAAAAAAATCATTAAGACAAATATATATCAGATTATATTATAATATAATATAAATATGCCAAAAAATTGCTCACTTTTATCATTGCAAGATACGATATAATCGCCTTTCGTCCATCATTATCCAGTTTACGAGCTCGATCATCACAGATCCAACAGTGAACACCACGTCTTCCAGAGTACACCCAGAGCAGGTGTTTAAATCCAAAATCATCTAAAAAATACATTTCCATGATCATATTAATAATAATATATTTTTGTTTGTATATTTCGTATAGAAAACAAAGCTTGCCTCGTAAAGTTTTATCAATGATCACAATAGCAACAGTAATAAACTGCCAGCACTTTAAACAGATATCTGCTTTACTGATCAATCATTCGCAAAATTTATTATAGACGCGTACATAGTATTTTTGAAATAGAAATAGGTCCACAAAAGTAAAATTAAATAACCCCCGTACCTGCAACACTGACGAACATCATCATAGTCAGTCAGATCAATATCAATGACCAGTTCTTTCATGATCGGCTTAAAAGAGTTTGGAGGCGAGAATTTTTTGTCTTTTGGCTAGAATTAAATGAATATAATATATATATTAATATATGTTTCAAGCCAAATCTCATTTTTTATAAATAAAACAAAAATAATCGTACCCGCATAGTGTACACAGCCCCAATATCAATTTTAGCTGGGACTTCTTTCAAAAGTTCATTTTTCAATTCTTCAGCATCCTTGAAGGACTGATAACGCACATAAACATCATTCGGGAGGGTGAAACTGAATTCGCGATTAAGAAAAGCTTTGGTTGGACCTAAATATATGAAATATTTAATTTTTATTATTTGCTAGAAATAAAATGGTTTTATGATAGATATTTGTTTCTTTGCAAATATTACACACTTACTCGTCTCGTAATTTAACCAATGATAATATGGTTTATACGGGAAAAAGCGTTGATAAAAGATTCGCAATTTTTCGTTCGCTGAAAGTTGGTCAACGAACGCTTGATTGTTGTCTTCGGTGCTATTTTTGTTGTACATATTAATAATAATGGAAATATCCCTTTTGCACAAAAGGATTAAAGCTGTTTTTGATATAATAGTCGCGTTTTTTTACCTAGTAGGCTGTTGGCTGTCAATTTCCATACTTTCCATCGTGGAAACTATAATTTTGTCACTAGTAAAACTATGTTTTTTTTAGCAGTAATAAAATGTGCTACACTAATAAACTGGACAAAAAAAGTTACCAGGAATAAAGACGCGACGTTCGCGATCTGAAAATTCTGTTATCGGCAGATCTCTTGTACCACTAAAGATCGCGATTAGCTGATAATACATACACTTGCGAAAATTTAAATCGCGCCAATTATCGAAATGTCAAGTCAATCGAACAAACAAAAAAAGGCAGCAACTAGCTCGTTACAAACCAAAGAGTCTTCCACTAAAAAAGATGCTCACGGGCAAAAAATCACAAGCGACCCGCGTTTCGTGCATGTGCATCAAGACCCGCGCTTCGTCCGACCAAAGAAAAATGATATTAAAATTACTTTGGATAAACGATTTGCTCATATGCTAAAGAACAAAGAATTTAGCGATGCTCGTGAGTTTTAATAAAACCAATCTCACCTTAAAAATACTTTTTTGAATAAATACTTGTAATTTCGGAAATTCTTAATTTTAAATTTTAAAAATTTTTGTGGTAGCCAAGGTTGACAAATACGGACGTCCACTTTCTTCGGAACGTGCGAAAAAAGAATTAAAACGATTATATGTTTTAGACAATGATGAAGATGACGATGAATCTAATAATCGTCGTGGTCATCGAAAAAATAAAGATACCATCATCTCTTCACAAAAAGATTTATATGATTTTTCGCGCGGAAGGTTAGATATTTCTAGTTCCCCATCAGAGGAAGAAGAATCTGATGATGATAACGCGTCATTATCATCATCCTCTTCGACGTCTTTAAATGAGTCTTTAAACCAAAATGACATTGAACAAGAGGAGCCAATCCCACTTGGCGATGAAACTCGCAGATTTGCTGCAATTAACCTTGACTGGGATAATCTAAAAGCAACAGACTTGATGAAAGTGTTTTCTGGGTTTTGTGCTCCGGGTACATCTATAATTAAGTCTGTCAAAATATATCCTTCAGAGTTTGGAAAAGAACGAATAGAATTAGTAAACTATTTAATTTTTTTGTGGAACGTCATTTCAATGGTATTTTTCAACAATAATGTATAAATATTTATTAATATTTAAGGAATCACGTGAAGGTCCACCAAAAGAAATATTTAAATCGTCAACCAATAAACGAGAAGACGAAAATGATAGCGACGAAAGCAGCAGCGATATCGGTGACGAAAAGAACAATGCATTGGCTGATGAGTTTGATGAAGAAGCGTTACGAAAATATCAACTCGAGCGACTGAAGTGTGTGATATCTTTGATGTATTATTAATTGATTCATTCACTTTTATTAATAGTAAATTATTTATCATACATACTATATTGTAATTATCATAAATATAGATATTTTTACGCCGTAGTCGAGTGTGATAGTGTTGAAACAGCGCGACATATTTACCAGCAATGTGATGGCGCAGAATTCGAAAGAACGGCCAATTTTTTTGATTTACGATTTATTCCAGATGATATGACTTTTGATGATGACCCAGCGTACGTGTATAATACAACTAATACATCTTTGACAAAATTGTTTTATGTATTCAATTCTTTTTTACTCGTTAAATAAACAATCTCTATAGAGATGAATGCTATGAGGCACCAGCCGAATATAAACCAGTTGATTTTGTCACAGATGTAAGACAATGATTTTTCCCACTATTGAGTTTTATTCACACTTAATAAATTTGCCATCTGAACAAATCAAACAACAGGCCCTTCAACACTCAAACGTAAAGTTAACGTGGGACAATGACGACCCCGATCGTGTCCGACTAATGCGAAAATCATTTACACAAGAAGATTTAGATAACATGGATTTCAAAGCGTACCTTGCTACATCGGAGGAAGATGAGGAGGAGGAAGACAAAAATATCGCGAAAAAATATAAAAGTTTGTTGTCATTAGCCAATGACAATGCTGATAATAATGGTCGAGAGTTACTGTATGGTTCTGATGATGAGCGTCATGATGATGATGGTGATCAAGAAATGGAGATTACTTTTACACCTGGGTTGAGCGAAGTTACTACTGCTTTATTGGAAAAGAAGAAGGAAAAAGAGGCATTCATTTTATTTATTTAAGATTATTAATATTGTTAGGTCCACCTTATTTATTTAACGCGAAATTATTTTTGGATTGGTATATAGTCTTTGGAGAATGAAACTACATTAGACGCGTATCTACGAAAACAACGTGAAAAAAAGAAAGCAAAGAGAAAACTTCAACAAGAAAAAATGAACAAACTTTCGTCTGATCAAGGTTTGTTTTATTTCTCACATTCAATCAGCATGAGAAAGCGAAAAATATATTTTTTTCAATTTTGTCATCAGATAACGATAATAACGACGATGAGAAAAGGACAAGAAAAAGAAAAAAGAAGAAACAGTCGAAGAAGAAAAATGGAGAAGAGGATGACGAGGAAGAAGATATTTTCGAGATTAATGTGCAAGATCCTCGGTTTGCAGCGCTTCACGAGTCTCATCATTTTGCCATCGATCCCAGTAATCCTCGGTAAGATTATTTTTTTGGTACCACGTTAAAAAATAAAGAATTTTTTCTTTTAACTCGTAAAAATTATCGATAGATTTAAGAAAACTAAAGCTATGGACAAGTTACTACAAGAACGACAGCGCCGTCAGTTGCTTTTGACACGCAATAAAAAGAACAGTGGCATCTAAATATTATTTTTATTATTGTATTTTTCATATCTTTTTTTCTATTTATATTACTTTCTTAAATATTGAATTCGTTTTCTAAAGATATTGAAGTTATATCAATTAACAATACAAGAATCAAAAACTTCATATAAAGAATTATTTGATGAAAACAAAAAATTATAAAATTAAATTCTAAAGTTATAAAATTAATGATGAAACAAAATATTCTTATACACAATATAAAAATCTTAATCTTATTTTTTATAATTTATTCTGAAATTATATATATTACTAGAACAAATTATTGAAACCAGTTCAATTAATAAAAAAACTAATTTATCAATAAGTAAATCTGGATTATTTTAAAAAATAATGTTATCAAAGTTATACATATAGTAGAATTAAAATAATAAACAATATAATTAAATTATAGATCTTTAAAATTTTATTTTGTTTAAAAAATTTTTTTGAATAAAATAAATTTATTTGAAAATTTATAAATTTAAATTAAATAAATATAACTTTATTTTAATGCATTTTAAAATATTATTAATAATTTAGTTTTTTCAAAATTTTAAAATATTATTATATTTTGAGCTTTTGCATATAAAAGTATTTCAAAATGATAATAATAACTGTTTACTTTGAATTACAAATAAATAATATTTGTGATGAGATAAAAATGATAAAACTAAATTTAAGATAAGACTAAACTAAAAGAAAAGTTAATCAAAAATTATTTTCTAACTTCAAAAATAAATCAAATTAACATAACTAATCTAAATAAACTTAAAACTAAACCAAAAAAAAACTTAATTAATTCAAGAGAACTTAAAATCAAACTTTAAAAATCAAAGAACTTGAATTTTATTAATTATTAATATTTGTATTTATATATATTTTCATATTATAATAATATAGTAATACACAGTATAATGCAGTTATAATATAACATATGATATAGTAAATTTATACTATTATTATAAAATTATTAGTTTTCTTCTAATTACATGAAAAGTTAATTATACAGTCAAATTTCTCTATAATCATTACTCTTAAAAAAGCAAAATTTGATGACTATAAAGAAAATATAACTATAAAGAGATTTTTTTACTATATTTATATATAAATAAAAAAGCAAAAATAGAGTGACTATAGATAAGTATGATTATAAACAGATGTAATTATAAAGAGGTTTAACTGTATTATAATTAATAATCTTGTTCTATACTAAAATATTAATAACAAAAATGAAAAATAAAAATTAAATAAATATAAAAAATAATAAATTTGCCAAGAAAATCGTGTGATTAATATGTTTAATTTAGAATAATAATAAACTAAAAAAAGAATATTTTTGACTTGAATATATAATTAAAATATTATTATAACTAATTTTATATGATTACACTTTTTATTCATGTATTTATTATATTGAATTAATAACAATATTATTAATAATCTAATTTTTTCAAAATTAATTAAATAATTATATTAATTTTATCTTGATCAAAATTAATTTTATTATATATATATATGTATAATTAAAATTATAAAAAAAACTTTAGAAAATAATCAATTAACAAAATAAATATTAAAATTAATATTATATAAAATATTATTAAAAAATTATTATAGAATAATAAATCTAAATATTTTTAATATATTATCATAATCAGACCCCTGATAGATATTATTATAATATAAGTATTTAATTAATATTTAATTAATTTATACTTTACATACTTAATCTTAATAATTTAATCATCTTAAAATTATTATATAATATATTTTTTTTATCTTATAGATAGATTCTCACTATTACTAATAGATTATAATATTTACTTAGTATAAAACAGTCCTATAATAATATAATACTGATATTTTATAGTAACTTTAATTGATATTTAATAGTATATAATTAATACAAGTATTATAATATAAGTTTAATTATTTAAAATTAATTAATATACAAATTTCATTAATAATAAACAAGAGATAATTTATTAATTAGTTAGATTTTTGTATTAATTAATTAATATTTTTTTCAAAGTCTCAATTATATTTTATTTATAATAAATATTTTTCACTAATTAATATTATATTTAAAGTAAATATAGTAAAAATAATATATATAATAAATATAATATAAATAATAAATTAAGTATTTTTGATAATTTAAATAATTACTATAATTATAATATTCATAAAATATTGAAAATATTTTTATTAAAGTATTAAAAATTTAAGAAATTGAAAAATTATAAATAAAATTATGAAATTCTATTTATAATAATATATATTATAAAAAAATAAACAAATATTTAACTTCAGAAATAATTAAAGAATTAATTAAAAAATAAAACTATTAAATATATAAATTTTGTAAAATAAAATTTTAATAATATAATTATTTGAATATATTTTATAAACTTCAAATATAGTGACAATCAAAAATAATGCAATAATATCAAAATTTATTAATTAAATATAATAAAATACATATTTTTCTCTTTATATAAATATTTTTAATTTTATTAATGAATATTTTTTATATTAAGATGAAGATAATATTATATATTTTAATAAATTTTTTAGATTTAATTAGATAAAATTATTCTAATTATATATATAATTAAACTTCTCTATAGTTATCTTATTTTGCTTACTATTTATATATAAATATAATAAAAAAATCTCTATATAGTTACATTTTTTTATAATCACCAAATTTTGCTTTTTTAAATATTTTTTTATATGTTTTAATTATAAAAAATATTAATTTTATATATAATTAGAATAGCTTTATTAGATTAAATCTAAAAAATTTGAAAAAATATGTTAAAATATATAATATTATTTTTATTTTAATGTAAAAAAATATTTATTAGTAAAATTGAAAATTTTTATATAAGAAATATATATTTTATTATATTTAATTAATAAATTTTAATATTATTGCATTATTTTTAATTATTACTATATATAACATATTATTTATATAATTCAAGTTAAAGAAATATTAAATTTTATATAATTATAATTATAATTATAATTATAACTTTATTTAGAATCTTATTAAATATTTATTTGAATTTGAACTAAACTTTTTATTAAATTTTAGTTAGATTCAAAATTTGAATTGAACTTGAATTAAACTTTTAATTGAAATGAATTTTCAAATTAGATTTTTAATTAAATTCAAGTTTAATTTAAGTTCAAACTATAATATATTCAATTTAAAGATATTTAATACTTTGAATTGTAAAGAAATTTTATTTTAAATATATAATTATTAAAACAAATATATTATTAAATAGTCTTTAATATAATCTATAATATTATATAATTTATTTGTTTTTATACTAAAATTATGAGATATTAAATACACGAAAATAGTTATATACATGAAAATAGGAAGGATTATCTTATATAATAGTAAAAATATTTTTAATTGATATGTAAAATTACATGATTATTTTTAAAATTTTAATTAGTATTATATATAATAACTTATTTGAAAATGATAATTCTTCAAAAAATTCAGCAGTAACATAATATTTAATATAACTAAGTTAGATACACTATAAATCAAACTTTTTTTTAGAATCCTAACTAATAATAATTAAAATTTTATTAATTATCAATTAAGATTTTATTAATTATATTTGTATTTATAATAATATTTCAATTATTTCTGACAAATTTTTCAATTTTTATTTGGTCAATAATTTCATTATTAATTTTTACTGATTCTTCTTGGATTTTTATTTTCAAAATTAATTATCTTGTTTTTTATTTGTAATATATGATAGTTAATCAATAAAATTTTTATTTTTATATTTTATATTCTTCTAATTTTTCTGATCGTAAATTTTATTGCAAAGAAAAATAAATATTATTTAATACAAAGATACAAAATAGAATATTTTAGTATCAATTTAATATTATTTTTGTTATATATATCCAATTATTATCAAGCAAAAAATCATATTCAACATGTTTCATAATCAAAATATTGATTTGTTATTTACAATTTCTGATTTTTATTTTTAATTGCTTTATTTCTTCAAGGAATTTTTCATGTTTTTTATTAATATCAATCAGGTTAATATTTGAAAGATATTTAATTTTTTGCTTGATTTGCTTTAAAAACTTTCCAGATATGATGTTGTTTATAAAATCATTATTAATTATAATATAAGTTAATTGATTTTTACAATATCTTCACTAGAGCTTGGAATCGGATTTATTTTTAATATTAAAATTCGGATTAAAAATAAATCCGGTTCCAAACTCTAATCTTCACAATATATAACATTATCAGGTATTTTTTGGTTCTAGTTCTTTTTTATTTTCATTTTGAGATTATTATTTTCTTCTTCAGTATTTAATAAGAGTTATTGTAAAAAGAATGTTAAAGAATTTTTATATATACTCTTTAGCAGATACAAATTTTAGTTTAAACATTATTCTGATATTTAATGATGGATTATTTTGTTCTTGATGATTATTGTTGTTATTATTACTATTATTATTGGTTCCAGGGCGACTCCAAAAGTTCGGTGTCGATCGACGCCGGCTTTTCCGACCCTACTACATTAGGGTGACGATAATAACGATCAAGATTTCGGATCACGCGACTTTAAATCTCCAACCAATAGTATACAAGATGATTCATGTTGCATAAATTTAAAGTGTTATTGATTATATAAATTTCGCTAATATTTAAAGACATCCAATATTTTTTAAAACTGCAAAATGTAAAAAAAATACGTTTAATTTTAAATAGGATCAATCTAATTGTAACCAATCACATATCCAGAATCATAACTCTAATCCTAACTCAGGTCCTAATTAGCCAATTAACAAATATACATTTATTCTTTTTTCAACGTAAATCCGACATCACATGATTCGAATCACGTTAATTCTATAGAAAGTTTACGAATTTATGATACTATTAATACTATTACTATTAATACTATTACTACTAATAATATAATAATAATAATAAAAATAATAACAATAATAATAATAATAATAATAATAATAAAAATACAAATAGTAGTTGTTGTATTAACAAATAATGTCCACTGGTCCGCATACACCAATGGAAGAAAACGACATTTCTATGATAACTCACGAAATCGTGGTCGATAGTATAGTACCAGAAAGTGAAGACCATTATATGGTAGAGGAACGACCACATCGTAGTAGTAGAGGGGACGAGGAAGACACTTATAGGAATAGACGACGGTTTGATCTTTGCTCACGATTTAGTTTCTATTTAATATGAAATAAAATCGAATTTTTCTTTTGATTATTGTAATTGAAAAACTGTGATTCTACAAATAGAAGAACAAGCAGTAGATCTCAGTCGCCTCCACCTCGCAAACGTTCCCATACACCCATTGCGCGTCGTTCCAGGTCACCTAGACGTTCCCCTCGGCGCTCACGTTCTCCACGCTCTCAACCACGAGAAGGTGCAGACTCGTATCGTCCTTCTCGTCGTTCATCGCATAATGATCATTATGAGCCGGCAGACCGACGAGATCGAGACGCAGAAAGAGATAGAGGGGATCGCGATAGAGGAAGTGTTAGGGATTCATCCCATCACCATCATCATAGAGACCATCGTGAACATCGTGAACACCATCGTGAACACCGTGATCATCGTGAGCATCGCGATCGGCGAGAGCGGTCTCGGTCAAGGGATAGAGCACCCATTACTCGTGGTTCTAGCTTTCGTGCTTCTGATCGAAATTATCCTGGTCGTTTGACTCCGAGGGAAACTGCTGGCAAGAATCTTGTTTTTTTTTTATTATACAAGATTGAATACTTAGGTATTTCAGAAGGTTAAATTACTTGTTATACCTTTTTTTGTTTTGATTAGCTATAGCTGCTTCTCAGCGATCACAAAAAGAATGTAGAGTATATGTTGGGAATTTAGCGTATGAAGTAAAATGGGGACAATTAAAAGATTTCATGCGTCAAGGTAATATAATTGTTTTAATGAAAATTTGATTAACTCTTTAATAATTACTAAATTATGTAAAAATTTTGATAGCCGGTGAAGTTGTTTTTGCCGATGTTTTGTTGCAGCCTAATGGCATGTCTAAGGTAATTTTAATTTTTTTTTTGGTATTCTCGAAAGTAATAATCATAATAATTTTATTATACTATTTTAGGGCTGTGGGTAAGGGATTGCAAATGGATAAAATAAATATTGTTTTTATTTTTGATTAACTATAAATTTGCGTCTCACTTTAAAACAAATTATTTAGTGTTGTTGAATACCGTACCCCAGAAGAAGCAAGACGAGCTATTGAAACACTAAATGATACCTCGCTTCTTGGACGACCAATATTTATTCGCGAGGTTATCTTTTTATTTTGCAATTCCTTATTTTTTTTGATCTGATGTTATTTAACAATAATTATTGAACTTTAGGATCGAGAATCTGAAGCTAAATTTGTTAATGGTCTCAATTTAAATAATGCAAATGATAGAAGAGCCAATCAAAATTATGGGAATAACAATAATATGAATGGATATATGAATAATAATAATAATAATAGTGGCGGGAATACAGGAAGACAAATTTTCGTAGGGAATGTAAGTGGGAAGTTATCTTTATTCTTTTTCCCAAAGATATTTGTTATACAATTATGTGTCTTTTGCAAATATTTCAAGATTCCTTATTCGGTCGGGTGGCAAGAACTAAAAGATTTATTTAGGAATGCTGGTAATTGTTAGTTTCTTATTATATTTATTGTCGGAGAAAAGAACTAATTGGTTCGTATATAATTGTTGTGCTAAATAGGAAGCATCATTCGTGCGGATATTCTCATTGGTCATGATGGGAGATCAAAAGGCTCCGGAACGGTATTATTTGAGACGCCAAAAGACGCTTCACACGCAATCTGTATGTCTTTGTGTGTTAGATTATTTTTATTTGAAACAAAAAAAGAAATAAGATTATTTATGGAGAAATTATAAAAGATTCATTAATCACAACTAAATTATTGCTTTATTTTAGCGTTATACGATGGGTACGAATGGAATGGGAGAAGGATTGAAGTCCGTGAGGTGGGACGTTGTTTGGTTATGTTGTATTTGGGTTTATTATTGGGTGGTAATAAAAGAAGGAATGTGGTGAGGGAGGAAAAAGAAGGCAAATTGTTGATGGGAAGTTAATCACAATAATTCATGGTTTACACCATGTGTATGTGATTTTTACGATGTTGCTGAAGTTGTAGTAGTAAGGGGATGCTGATATTCGAAGAGAAAAGAAGGGTTGAAATAGTAAAAAGAAGGGAATTGGTTGATAGATAGCTAGATATATATATATATATCATATTTGAGATGGTGGGTTTTCTTTACACGAACTTCACATTTCCACATTCACGCAGGATCGTTTTGCTGGAGGACCACCACCACCCAGATTTGCCGGGCGTCCAAATTCTCGTCCATTTACCGCTTCATCTTTTGGCGCCGCCGGATCAAATAATGGATTCTATGGACCAGCAACGGCGGCAAACGCGCAACCAGGTGGTGGATTCGGAACTAATTTTTCATCGTCGAATTTAAACGTAGCTGCTTCCGCAGCCACAGTTGCCACACCAGAACAGTATGATGGTTATGGTGGCGGGAGTGCTGGATATAATGACTTTGGATCAGGTGTCACAATGATGGATTACACGAACAGTGGTTATAATGCAGGATACGGCGGTCCATTTGGTGGCGGTGCTGCTGCTACTGCTGGTTATGATGCATCTGCTACCGGATATTACGGGGGTCCGGCGAATGGAGGAGGCAGTAATGGATCACAAATATTTGTCAGAAATGTAAGGATTTTTTGGATGGATGGTTTGTTGTTGCTGTTGTTGAAATGGTTTTGGATTTTTCTTTTTTGGGTCGGGAGGGGAAATTACGAACACTTTATTTGTTTCCTATTGATAGATAGTTTTTTATGCCAATTTTTCTTGTATTGTAAATATTATTTCAAAGGGTTAATAGGAAATGAGGAATTTAATGATGATGGTTGTGTTTTTTTTACACAGACCAGATGATGATTATCTTTTTATTGTATCTATGAGGGCGGGGAAAGAAGTTATTTTGTTGGGACATAAATAACAGTAAAGAAATGCCAAATCGTACACATTTCTTCCATATGTTTTTAATGAGGCAGTCAGGATTAACGAATCATCGGACTTTTCTCCCCTTTTTCTCACATTCTTTGGGGTCAAATATCATTATTAGCTTCCCTTCACTACAACAAATCTCGATTTAAGAGACCTCTTTAAGCATTGTGGTAAGTTTTGGCTTTTTGTTGTTTTCTTTTTACTTTCTTTTCATATATCAATAATATATTGTGTATATGCTTAGGAAATGTTATGAGGGCAGAAATCTTGGAACAAGGTGGACGACCTAAAGGCGCAGGAATAGTACAGTTTGACTCTTATGATTCTGCACGACTTGCTGTTGGTATGTACTATTTTAGTTTTTATCTATATTTTTGCTTAATTTAATTTCCTTCGATGTGATTGCTTAAAATTAGAAAAATTCAACGGATACTCGTACGGTGGTCGTCTTATTGACGTCTACTTTGATCGATTTGCATGATAACTAGTAAAATTTATTAATAATGGCTTCTCTGCGTATGCGGGATACATGTATGTATATAATATGTGATTGATTTCGAAGGTTTTTTGAGGTGTTGTCGGTATGTAGTGAATTTATATTCTACCCCAAAATTAATCCCCTTTGCATTAATCATTTTAATTAGTTTTAATTCTTTTAATATTTTTGATTATTGTGCGTGAACACAAAATTCATTAATAAACCTATATTCACATTTTAATAAAATTTGTTCTATATATATTTTTTATAAGGCAACTTGGAAATGCAAAGCTTCTCTAAAAAATATATATATTTTCTTAAATGAAAACTCTGCAGTGCAAAGTCACTATGTTATTAATTAAAAAAATTTTTAACAATTCAGAAAAAAACATATTCTTGCTTATTATTGATTGTAAATTCATTTTTTTCTGCAATTTCATAATAAAAAATTATGCTGATATGATTGAAAAATTATACTTTAAAATTATTATTTTGGTAATAATAAAAAATTAAAAAATTGAATTATATAATTATAAATTATAAAATATTTGATTGATAACATTAATTTCAAATTGAATTGAAGTATTTGAATTTAGAATTAGTAATATGATTTAGTTTAAAATATTCATGCAAATTTATTAAGATACTGTTATACCAGTTTATTTATATAGCAAAAGATATTTTAATAAAAAAATCTTTTCTTTATATATTTCTGAAATTAAATTTAAAAAATCTATAAAAAATATATATTAAAATAAAGATTCTTAGTTTCATTTTGATATAAAAACAAAAAATATTTACTAATAGAAATAAAATTTTTATTATAGAAAAATAATTTTAATTTTATTATGTTTTTTTTGGATTTCTAGTTATTTATTGTAAAAGTGTATAGATAAAAGAATTTTATTCATCAATATTTTTAGATAGTGATAAGTAACAAAATAATTATAATAAAAGTAGTAAAATAATTATAGTAGAAATAACAAAATGATTATAATAAAAGTAATCAAATAATCATAACAAAAATAGCAAAATAATAATAATCAAAGTATATTTATAAAACTATTAAATAATATAAAAGTAATATATTTTAGCTAGTAAGTTAATTAGACTTCTTGATTTTAGTTTTCTTCATTTTGAAAAAAAAACTTTAAATCTTTTACTTATAGATTCTTATTTGAACTCTTATTATACACTTTTTTATTTTAATTTTTTATTTTAAAATTTTTGTTTTAATAACCAATCTCTATATTAACATATATTAATTAAGTTAATAATTATGTTATAATTTTTGTCTTGATAAAATAATTAAGTATATTAAGAAATTTTGATTTTTTAAGTTTGAATAAAATTTTGTTCATTGTTATTTTTGAAGCTTTTGTAGATCAAGCAAGTTTGTTATTTTGGATAATATATTTTGTTTATTATAGACAGTATTAATAAAATTTATATTATATTTAGTTTGTTTGCTGTATTAATAAGTCCAATCCTTTTTTTTAAAAAATTAATTTTTATTATATTAGATTAAATAATTTTTGAAAGATATTTTTAAAAAATTTACAAGTTATTTGACTAAGCAAAATGTCCAACAAAAAGAAAGAAAAGATAATTTAGAATTTAATCTTGGAACTAGTTAAATTTTACATTGTTATATTTGGAATAAGAATCAAAAATTACTTTTGAAAAATTCTTTATTTTTTATTTATATTCCTGTTATTAATATAAAGTTTTAAATAGATATAAAAATATGATTAATATCAATTATTAATAGGAAAACCATTAGTTATTATTTGTTTATTTATTTATACTTATAATAATAATGAAAAAAATTAATTAATATTTATTTAGATAATTATTTATCTATTTTTTTATATTTTTTTATATAAAAACATTATTTTATTTTATTTTTATTAAATATTTTTTTTGATAAATATAAAATTTTAAGTAAATAAAAGCTATTATTTTAGTTAATTTTCTAATTTAATTTAAGTTAATGTACTAAATTTGTAATAGATATTTTTTATTATATACATAATTCAAACTTTCTTATTTTTAATTCTATTTTAATAAAAAAGAATAAAATGTTATATATATTGGTAACTTGTGAAATAATCTATATATTATTATAGTATTATCAAAAAATTTTTGCTATAATATTTATATATAAAATAAAATTCTATTTTTACTATTACTTGCTAATTTCTAAATTTAATAATAATTATTATAATTAACTAAAACTATATAATTGAGTAAGCTAGACTTTTTAGTATTTTATAATAAGTATGAATAACTAAGAACTAATACATATTTAATTTGTATTTTTATATTTTAGATTTTATTTATTTTTTATTTTATTATCTTATATTTTTATTTTATAAAGTAAAATTCTTAACAAAGAAAAATTTGTTATAATATTGTTATTATTTACTATTTTTCTTGATTATCTAATATAGAATATTATCAAATTCTGAATGATATTCAAGCAATTTCTATTTATAAATATTTATCTATTTATTTATTTATTTTTAATTATCTTATATTTATATTTGATGATATTATGAATTATTAATCACTTTACAATCAAACTTTTTTATAGTTATCATTCTTGAAAAAGCAAAATTTGATAATTATAGAGAGATTTTTTTACTATATTTATATATAAATAGAAAAGCAAAATAGAATAACTATAGAGATATGTAATTATAAACAGATATGATTATAGAAAGATTTGATTATATTTAATTATTACACTATTTTATTAATTATTAATTATTATAATTTTATTAGTTCTTGATTTATAATTAATTTATCTAATTTATTTAATATTTCACTAATTACAATTGTAATATTTAGATTAATCTGTATCATATTTATTATTATTTGGTATTATGCATGTTATAACTTTATTATTTTATTGATTTTTTATATTATTACAAATCTTGTAGATCTGTATTATTTTAACATATATTTAATAAATATAATTTAATATAAAAAATCAGATATCTTATAGTTTATTTTTGATTTTGTTAATAATAAAAAATAGATCAAATTGCTGATTATTCAAATTACTTTGTTTTTATTAATTTTTTTTATCTTTGTAATCTTATAATAATTCATTACTTGTTAAATTATTATTATTTATACTTATTAAAAATCTCTTTTTAAATATACTTAAATAAAATCTTGTTATTTAATATTGAAATTCGTATTCTTAAAAAAATATATATTTTAATATTTTGTGTGAATATAGTCACTATCACTTATCTCATAAATATCTCCATCTGTAAAGATCACAGATCAGTAATAATATAAATATTTAATTCTTATTTTATTGATTAATTTATATTATAATTTAATTAAATAGAATTTTATTTGTAAATAGTAAAAAACAGCAAAATAATTATAGCAAAAGTAACAAAATAATCATAGCTAAAATAATATTTGTAAAATCATTAAATAATATCAAAGTAATATATTCTAGCTAAGAATGCTTATTAAAATTTCTTCAAAAAAATTTTGGCAATTTTAATGAATTATATACTAATTATTAGTTAGAATTTTGTTTTTGATAGCTTTCAAAATTCAACAAAATTTTAATATTCTATTTGTTAATATTTTATTATAATTTTAACAGAATTTAAATGATTACTAAGAAATTTCAGCATATATTTTTAATTTTAATTAGTAATTTAAATATATTTCTTAGATTTTAGATTTTCTAGGTTAGAATTTAAAATAAAAATAAGAGAATTTGTATAGAATAAGTTTCTTATTAATAAATTTTGATAATAACTTGTAAAATATTTCAAGTTATATTTTGTATTTGTTTTGATCTTGAAAGATAGATCACTTATAATAAATCAATTTGTTATTTAACTTGAAAAAAAATCACTTGAAAAATATTATTTTAAATTATAATTCTTAAAATTGTAAAGAAACTTAGTAAAATTATTGAATATCATTCTAGCTTATCACAAAAACACACATTATCTATTTTTAGTTATAATTTTTAGTCTCTTTCACCATAAAAACTTAATTTTTTCCATCTTTTAGTTAATAAAAACATGTGAATAACACATAAAGTACTTGAAATCTATAAAAATAATAACAATATATAAAATTTGATATTTAGCTATAACTAAAAAATCCTATATCCAAGATAAAATCTTACATAATTATACAATACAAAAAACTAACTCTTTTCATTTCACACAGAATCACATTCTTTTCAAAAAGAACAAGCTCTATTTTTATATAATAATTATTATTCAAATAATTTAGATAACATAATTAACAATCTTTACAAATTTTACCTCTTTCATCATTATTAACATATGTGAATATTAAAATACATCCAAATAGCTCGTGTTTATTGTCTGTGGATGGATTTTTAATGCTTTATATCAATATTTATTGTGCAAACTAACATCTCAATAAACATGCTTACTTGTTTCTGTTTCTGAATATCACGTGAATCTCATTTCTCCATTATTAGAAGAGAGAAGGGAGTGAGTAGGAAGCATTAGGCAAACTAAGATGATCAATGATCAAAATCCAATCAATAAGAAGTGTCCATTACTTCATTATTATAGTCTACTTCGCTGGCACCATCATCGGACACATATTCATCATCATCCCAAAAACCGTCATCCGAGCTGTTTTCAAAAGGTTCAAGGAAATCCGAATCATTTCTATTCATTGAATCAGAATAAATCAGCACATACTTTATAACAAAGAATTAACGGACACAATAAACCACATACTGTCTTGAGTTTCTGACCATATTAATATTTGATTCCTTTAATAAAAAATATTAAAATATTAATTTACAAATAGACCTTTACTAAAAATCAAAATCATTAAATATACCTTTTGAAGTCTGATCTGCTTTTCTTCTAGTTCAGAAGCTTCCTCAACTGGAATTATCTTGAGTCGAACCGGTTTTACATATTTACCTTGACGAGGAGAATCATTATTCGCAGAACTATCATTATACACTCTCACATGGATACTATCGTCAACTGCCATCCTATTCATGCGAATGCGAAGGTCATTAATAGATTTCTCTTCTTTTGATGCATTATTTTTATTCAAATTATCTCCCGACTCTTCTGAACTCCTGGTATGATTGTTATTTATGATGTGCATTTCCGTGTCGTCATTATTGAATTCTGATAAAGCCTTAAGGATTTCTGCCCGAGCTTTGTGAATTTTTTCTCCTTTATCGGAAAGGTTAGACATAAGAGAGCTAAAAAAAGCAAATGCAAATTATGTCTCTGAATCAAAAGGTAAATTAATAAATATATGACGCGAATAAGAAAAAGTCAACTAGTCGGATTAATTAGAGGCGCCTGGGAACACATTGTTTGATTACTCTTATCGCTTGCTTGGTCTTTCAGCGCCTATGCTAAATGTATAAATTATCGCGAAGGTATAAATAGAGCAGGAAATACCTGTTGTTCATTAATACTGTGTTCCTTTCCAGTAAATCTTGTAATTGTTCTTTCGAGCATGTGTTATAATCTAGTTTTGGCATGGTTCTCTTGTTAAAACCTCCAGGAATTACTATTTGACGATCCCAAAATGAACTTTGTTCTTGTGGAGTTCGGAAGGGAATAATAGAAAGTGGGACTTCTAAAATTGCGAGAGATTTAATAATCATTAGCTTTGTAAAGAGGAAAAGGTCAAAAAGATAAGCTGCTCACCTCTTTTTATCGACATCTTTTACAAAAGGTGGTTATACGGGTGGTAGAAAATTGGCCAAATTGATGTTAACAAGAATTAAATTAAATCCATTAGTTGATACGTCATCGAAATAAAATTCCCATTCTGACACTTGTGTCGCACACACGCGTTTTTTACTTGGCTTCTTGGCTATTTCTTGGCTATCTATATCATTATTTTAAAAAAGCGAAATTTTACTTTTGATATTTGAAAATATTACCATACTATTAATTCTTCACCCAACATGAATCGTATATTTGGATCTTCTAAAAAGACACCAAAACCAACACTTAATGACGCAATTGCTTCCGTGAGTATCTTAAATTAATCAATAAAAGAATTTACGAATTCCATGGGATTTTTACCAAATCATGTTGATTTTGTGGTATTTGTGAAAATGAAACATTAAATAGACGGATTTGCGGGTGGATGCTGTTGAAGTTAAGATAAAGAAACTCGACACCGAATTGGCGAAATATAAAGACCAAATGAAGAAAATGAAGGAAGGACCCGGAAAGGTTAGTCTTATTTGGTTAAAATTAGTTTGAAAAATGTTTGTTAACCATTTATGTTAATTTTAGAATGCTATTAAAGCTAAAGCACTACGAGTATTAAAACAAAGAAAACTGTAAGTGTTAGTGGCTATTTTTTTATATTAAATTTGCTCGAAACATTAATTTATTCTAAATTAATTAATATTTTTAAAAAAAAGATATGAAGGTCAACGCGATCAACTCCAACAACAATCATTTAATATGGAACAAGCAAATTTCACAACAGAGAATCTTCGAAATGTGATCTCGACTGTGGACGCAATGCAATTAGCGAACAAAGAGATGCAGAAACAATATAAAAAGATTGACGTTACCAATATTGAGGTTGTGTTCTATAATCGAATTTTCGTTTGAGTGGTTTTTTTATTGGCGGTTTTTATATATTCTCTATAATAATATTATTATAGAGAATTCAAGATGATATGGAAGATTTGCTGGAACAAGCAAATGATATACAAGAATCACTTGGAAGAACTTATGGACTGCCCGAGGATATTGATGAAGATGAATTGGAAGCTGGTTAGTTGATTATTAATCGCACAAAATCTGAATTTCTTCTTTGATTCCAGAATTGAATGCGTTGAAAGACAGAGAGATCTTTGAAATGTTTTAGTTCACATTGCCTTGATACACGCAATTACATATTAAATTTATTTTTTTCCTTTGATGCCAGAATTGGATGCGCTGGGAGATGAACTTTTATTGGAAGAAGCAGAAGAACCCTCATATTTACAAGAGACACAAATCCCAGATATTCCTAATGCTGAGCTGCTGGAATTGGAAGGAGAGGTAAAGATAATTAAAACTTAAATTTTTATCAGTCAATGAATCAAATAGTTAATGATGATAATTATATATCTAGGCTGCTAAACTAGAACCAGGCGTTCCGACAGCACCAATGAAAAATGTCGCTTAATAGAAAAGATCGAGAAAAACGCTGCTTTTTAATTCCGATATTATCACATTATTATTTAAATTCAATTGCTTTCACAATAAATATATATCTTGTCTTTTTGGTATATATTTGTATTTTATTATATAACTAGATGTTCGATGTGTAGAGGTCGGATCATGTGAGCGCGAATTTACTATTTTGGGACTTTTAAATAATTGGTTTCCGAAATTATCACAAGAGTTGTTCACATATTGTTGAAAAAATATTATTAGAATATATAAATTTTCTAAAATAAATATAATCTTTAGATTGAAATAATCAAATGACCATTCTGTAAGCTACAAACAAGATCAATAAATGAAAAATCGAATTTCAAAATTCTATTGGTCCGTTGCTGTTACGTCACTCAAGATGGATTTTTATAAAAAATGAGATATTTCACCACAGCATCTTCACGTCAAAAAAATATGTCAAACAAAAACCAAACTATCGCTCGATTTTCCAGGTTAAAACCTTTCCCGCCCAAAAAGGCACTACAACACCAGACTCGCCCTCCTCATCTTCATCGTGTCCATAAATAAAAGAATCAGGAACGGCCCAAGTTTCTCTAACTAATTTAATTTTTCGCTCTTTACCCCCTTCGTGAGTATGCTTTTTCTCTTCTACACCATAAAACCGTTTCCCAAATTCACAAGCAAACCCTTGAAGTTTATCAAGTGCACCAAAAGATTCGAGAATAGTAACCAAGTATGGTATCGCCAATGGGGTGGTGAATACTCCAGCACATGCATGTGCACATTCTTTTAAGTGTGCTGGATGTGGTGCTGAATCTGTTCCGAGGAAGAACCGTGAATGTCCTAATAATGAAAAAAAAATTAATTCTTATGGAACTACGTATACAAGATGATAATATAAAAAAAAACTACCTTCTGCAACCACTTCACGTAATGCCTGACGGTCATGCGGATACTTTGCAACTGGCTTACAGAAATTATGCGACTGTCCTGCCCAATCATCAACCACTAATTGTAGGTGATGAACTGTAATTGTACAACCAACTGTGTCACCAAGAGATTTAACCTTTATTAAGATTGTTAATTTTTATCCATTCTTAATATCAATAATAGTTAATACTTATAATTGATATAATCAACCACATACCATATCAACGGCTGCTTTTGTAGTAGCATGTTCTAAAACGATTTTCAGATTCGGGAAATCAGCGTGTATCTGTTTCAAATGCACCAGAAATTTTTCTTCAGCGTTTAATACGCATATATCCTAACAATTATTATAATTAATAATTTATATTATTTCAAAATTGATAGAAGAAACAGAAAATCATTGATCATTCGATTGATCGATTAATTAATTAATTAATGTTTTGTAAAATTCACCTTATCATGATCACTAGGAAGTTCCCCATGTAGATTCAATATCATGCCTTCTTTTTCCATCGCCTTGAACACCGGATAATACGCAGTATAAGATTCGATCCCGGAATCAGAGTTCGTGGTAACACCACGCGGATAAGATTTCACTCCTTTTTTTTTCGCATATCGTAGTTGGTCGAATCGACAGATATACAATAGGCATAATCAAAAGACGAAGTAAAAATTAAATACCAACAATTCCATGCCGTTTCGCATGTCTAATCTCTTTTGGTGTCAAATCAGGACTCAGGTACAACGACATCAGAAAAGTCACCGATGGCGCGAGTTTCTCCAGTTGTGCCTTGTAGAATAGTGCTTGTTCGGTGGTTTTTATTGGCGGTTTGAGGTTTGGCTTTATTTATTTTATTTTTCAATTTAAATTATATATGTATGTGTATATATATACATATATATTGAATAATTAATAAACAAAGATGGTGATGTTTGTGGTAATGATAATATTTAGTTTTATGGATGATTTTAACATAGTCAAATAATATGAATATCAAGAGTGAACAAACTAAATTAAAATTAAAATTAAAATAAATCATATAAATTATAATAATCAAAATTCCATTAAATCAAGCGATTCATCCCACAATAAAAGTCGTATTCGTGCAATTTTCTCCACCCCCCCCCCCCCATCATTCAAAAAAACCCAAGATTCATAATTAAATCAATTACATTTATTTCACCAATATTACCATAACATAACACAACGACACACCACCCTCCAAAATACGCGGAACCACCATACGCATCAACGTATCCTGTCGCAAATGAACATGAAAATCACTAGCGTACGGTAATGAAAGTTCATTTCTGTTATCGACCTTGTGACTGTGACTATGCTGCATTATTTTGCTGGAATTTTAAACAAGCAAGCACTATTACAAGATCTATCAATTGTCACTTGACTTAAAAGATTCATCAAATTACATTTATAGTAAAAGTGAGCACTTAATTTATTTTGACGATAGTAATTTCCTGTTATTTACTGCATACCAATACCACAACGAGAGCATTAACCATATTACTTTATCTGAGAATAAACTGGGAAAACTGCTATGTGTGACAGCCCCATAACTTACCGATAATCAAAAAAGTGATGCGTCAAGCTACTTACTTGTAGTAGTAACTGCTCAGCATCTAACAAATTCGGGTGAATTATTGTCATTAAATACCAGCGAAGAAGAACAAGAACCAGCAGAAAAGGACAAAAAAGTGTATACACACACACTTATTTACAGTTTTTCCGCTGCTTTTTTCACAGGAATCAATTAGTTTGTTGTCATCTATTATTTGACTACGACGATGGCAGATGTAGTTCAACCCCACCTGCACACACACGACCACGGTCATGACCATGACCATGATCATGATCATGACCATGAACACGACCATGGTCACGACCATGACCACGAATATGGCCATGGTCACGACCACTCTGGACAAGGTGCTGGCGGTGTTGGGGGTGGGGGCGGGGGTGGTCATCATCATCACGATCATAATCACGAACACCACGACCATGACCATGACCATGACCACTCGCAAGATAACTATATTAATAACCAGGGATTAGAGAGACCCGCCAAGTTTCAAGAATACGATTTACTTGAACTTCGTGAGAAGAAAACAGAAACCAATGATCCAGAAGTTGAACAAGTAATCATATTTATTTTCTTTATTTTGACAAAAGAGAGGGATATATATAATCGATCTGTTCGATGAAACATTTAATATATAAATGTTTATTTTTTTTTGTAATACCATCCACCACCAACCAATAAACAACAAACAAATCAGTACTTCAAAGCCAAAGAACTATTCCGAAAAGGATTCGAACTCGCATCAAAAATACCCAACGAAACCACAGATGAAATCCTGCGCAAACATGAGGGTGACATTTTCGAATCGACGAAATATCTCGTTGAGGCGTTCTTGGTGGACGAAAAGGCTACTGAGATGTCGCCGAGGATCATGGCGCTCGCACAACAGTATGAGAAACTCTTGAAATTGCAATATGGTGGCGAGGATATTGAAAGGAGTAAAGAATACGAAAAGGCAACGACGTTTGAGGAGTTGGAGGAAGAGATTAAAGAGGAACAGGAAGAGAGAAGAAAAGCAGCAAAAAAGGGAGAAGAGATTGATACTCTGGAACCGGAATTTACTAGAGAGTAATTTTTTTATATGATCCAATATTATCGTTTTTCAAAAACGTCTCCAATACTAACATTCGAACAAATAAAAAAGGTCGCTGATATTGGTCATCTGGTTACTATTCAACGGTAAACAGTTCCAATTCTGTATCCAAACTCTCTCGATTGCACTCAATCAACTTGAACAGTCTCTCCATCCTCGTCTTCTCCACCTTCGAGCATCATGCTACCTCGCAACCGGTGACAACAAACTATGTATCAAAGACCTGGAACGACTCGTCGCGCTCAATCCAAACTTTGTCGACGCATATAGCATTCAAGGCTTGATATACATGCAACAAGATGATCGAGTCGAGGCCGTGCGCGCCTTCAAATCCTACATCGAAAAAGCGAACAAGGATTCGATTGGTTACGCCAATGCACTTTATGCTCTTTCCGTACTAACTATTCAGAATGCCACCGCAACCGCAACATCTAGTCGTAAGCAATCTTTACAAAACTTGCGTACTCAACAAGCCTACAATTACTACGACAAAGCTAAAGAGGCCGAAAAACGATTCGAGTATTTGTATGGTCACCCGCCGGAAATGACAGATGTTAAACGCACAGCTATGACGCTATTCGAAAAAACCTCGCGGGACTCGAAAAATGAGAAACCAAAAAATTCTCAATTGGAAGCTGAACGGTTGGCGCCCATTTTACAACAGTTGCTTTCAATGCAGCCACAAACTAGTTTAGCGGCTGCTAATATTACTGGTGCTGGAGCAAATGATAGCGGGATAAACGAAAAGAAATGTCATAATTGTGGAAGTGAAACACGTAAAGACGAGAACGGGGAAATCAAAGAGGAAAAGAAGAACAAATTGTTAATTTGCACTGGATGCACTAGCACCTATTATTGCTCGAAAGAATGTCAGAAAAAGGATTGGAAACAAGGACATAAACAACAATGTGGAAATTCAAAACAGGTTTTATTAAAACAAGGTGCACAAAGTGGATAATTGTAGCTGTGATCGTAGTAATAGTATTTTGAGTTCAGATATCGTTCTTTGTTGTTATGGAAGGCTTTTTATTTTAAATTCTCTCGAGGTCAACACCCCAAAAACGTTCTTCCTTCTTTCTCTTCTGTTTTTATATGTTAAAATTTTATCCTCATCGATTTAATCAAACCAGAACAATAGTAAATTTTTGTTTTTTTTGCTTATCATACCCGTCGGAAAGCACATTTACATATAAAGAAGACGTAATATTTGTAATCTCATCATCATCTTCGGTCAAAAATAATTAAACCACACACAATTCTGAACGACAGGAACCAGATACCAATTTTTATTTTTTGGAACAAAAAAAGCTGTGAAGTCAGTAATAAAAAATCGACTCGAATATATATATATATATATAGTATTTTTTGTTTGTTATGTAATCAAACTTCTTAGATGGTGGCAACTGATGTAATAAAAAATCGAGTTAATTTTTTTGCGTAAATATTTTTATTTTTTTTATTTTTGGTTATATATAATCCATATCAAACTTTCATCTAAAAAACTACAGTCACACATTAAAAATAATAACTTTAAAATCAAGGAGAAAAAATTATTTACAAAGTAGAGAGAGAATCCTAAAAAACAAATCACTGCTACTTACTACTATCTCTTCACTCGCACATAAAAAAACGAAAGCAATAATAATAGTAATAAATAAATAACAAAAATGAAAATAATGGAAAAAATAATTAAAATTCCTTGTACGTAAGGAATAAAATATATTAGGAAAGTATGAAATTTAAAATTGGTTTTGATTTGGGAGGATCGGTTGGTTGGGTAAATTTCAAAAAATATAAAAAAAGCTGTACAATTCTTCCATTACAAGAAGAAACAGAAAAAAGAAGGGAATATTTAACGAAGAGAGCGCGACATAATATATATATGTATATAATCTCCGGGAAATAAAATAATACCTCCGAAATTCTTCATAGAAGCTTGTTTTGAATAAAATGTGCATATAATAACAAGCATCTTTCTACGAAAAAAAAGTATTAAAACCAACCCCATCTCTATTTATCTATAATTTTTATAACAAGTGATGACGAAAAAAGTGTGCTTGTAATTGGTTATAATAATATTCAGTAAATAATAATGGTTTTTTATATGTGTCGATACCTGACCGTAACACCAACAGTTCGAATTATTTATAGAGTGGAAAATGTTTGTGGATTGGATTAGAAGAAAAAAGTTCAAAAGAGGCAAAAAAAACATTATTTCCGATTTTCGTTTAAAAGTTTTGAGAAAAATAATAATGTCTTTTAATCATCACCACTATCATATTCTGCGTCATCACCAATAAGCTTCCGAACAACATGAATTAATTATTTCCATGGTGTCTATTATGTTGTGGTGTCTGACTATAAAATGAAACTGAAGAACCGGCTGGTGACGATGTCGACTGTTGAGAAGGATGTGGTGATTGTGACCTATCATCATATGAGTTACAATTATGCACTAATTCTGGACGATGAGGCATATTAGGGTAAGGATGATACCGCGACGACGGTGGTTGTGTATGACTTTGTGGCAATAATGGTGGTGGTGGACCAATATTGAAAGGATGATTACTAGGAGACTGAGACTGTGGGCCAACCATCGACGATGGACCAGGATGCATATGATGAACGGATGGCAATGTTGGATGATGATGAAGTCCAGGAGACGTATGCGAGACAGAAGGTCTCATATCTCGTGGGTCATTTGCAGATGAATTATCATACTGCAACGATCCTCTCTGTGAGAAAAGATGTGATGACGGGGGTGGTCCAGGTTGTGGCTGCGGTGGAGGCGGCGGTTGTTGTTGAACAGGTTGCGGTGAAGTATACATTCTACTTTGCTGTGCAAAGTTTATATGCATTCCGCTGTTTGTGATCGGATGTGCCGCGTGATGAACAGCGGGTAAAGGATGAGGGTGTGGTCTTATATCATGAGTTTTCTCATGTTTTCTCAACGATCGAGAATGATAGTATGCTTTGCCGCATCCTTTCGATGAACACACGTACGGACGTACGTTCGAATGGGTTTTTATGTGGGTTGTTAACGAGTCTGGTCGGGAAAATCTTTTCCCACAGCCAGGAGTCTCGCACATGTAAGGTCTTTCACCGGTATGTGTTCTTAGATGATTGTACATTTTGTGGCGTTTGGTAAATGGTTTTGTGCCTCGTGTGCAGCCTTCCCATTCGCACGAATATGTTGCCTTATTTTATTATTACAATGAGAAAGACTAAATAGAAAGGAAATAGATCAAAGATACGAGGAAAATAATACCTTTCCACTTCCAATATGAATTTCGATCACGTGCGTTATTAGTAATTCCAATTGCTGGAAAATCTTTGTACAGTTTCGCCACATACACTTTTTTGTATCTTGCTTGTTTGGATCTTGGTCGTCGTCTTGTCGAGCGGAATTTATTCCAGAATTATTAGTATTATTATTATTATTGTTGTTGTTGTTGTTATTGCTAGTATTATTGTTACTAGTTAAATTAGTAATCTTGGACATATCAGCACGATTATTATTTGGTTCGTGTTTTATATCTTCGATGGAATCAGCACGCGAATTTATCGATTCTTGGTCATCTTTATAATCGTAAATTAAACAATAATTATTAATAACAGTTCCTTAGCGTTTGGTCCAAATAAAATCATACACCTACCTTCAGAATCACTAGTTATCTGAGTCGACCGTCTTTTCGTAGGACGTTCATCGTGACTTTTACCGCCCGCAGGGTTTTTTTCGCGTTTTTCTAATTCTTTACGCAGAGCATCGTCATTCCAATTTCCATAATCGTATTCAGCCAACCTCAATAGAAGATTTTGACGTTCTGATTCGTCGTGATTACTTATTAGTAATTGTGATACTGCACTTTTTGACGATTCCATTTGTATTGATTGAATGGGCGTGAATTGTGCAGCGACCGGCGGTGAATTCGAAGTATGTGTACTGAGCAATGTTTGTGTTGGAGATCGACTTTGTGGTAATGGTAATGATAATTGTTGTTGTTCTGGTGATTTATGTTGATGCGGATGTGGATGTGAAAGCTGTTCTTGTTGCTGCTGCTGTTGTTGATGATGCTTAAGCTGCTGCTGTTGTTGATGCTCAAGCTGCTGCTGTTGTTGCTGCTCAAGCTGCTGCTGCTGTTGCTGTTGCTGTTGCTGCTCAAGCTGCTGCTGTTGTTGATGCTGCTCAAGCTGCTGCTGTTGTTGATGCTGCTCAAGCTGCTGCTGTTGTTGATGCTCAAACTGCTGTTGTTGATGCTCAAGCTGCTGCTGCTGTTGTTGATGCTCAAGCTGCTGCTGCTGTTGATGCTGCTCAAGCTGCTGCTGCTGTTGATGCTCAAGATGCTGTTGGATTTTTTCATGCTGTTGTTGCTGCTGCTGCTGTTGAAACTGTAATTGAAGTTCCTGTTGTTGTGGTGGTAAAGGTTGCTGCGTTTGTTGTAATTGCTGCTGACATTGTTGTTGCTGTTGCTGGTGCTGTAACTGTTGTTGCTGCTGTAATTGGTGCTGTAATTCTTGTTGCTGGTGTTGTAACTGTTGCTGATGTTGTAACTGTTGTTGATGCTGTAATTCTTGTTGGTGCTGTAATTCTTGTTGGTGCTGTAATTCTTGTTGCGCTAACCGTTGCTGTTGGTGCTCTAATTGTTGTTGTTGGTGCTGGATTCGCTGTTGTTGTACCGAAATAATTTGAGAATCTAAAGAATCAGAATGTTCAAGTTTTATAAGAGGATGTGCCGTCGAATTATCCTCGGATGAAATCACGTTAGCCTTTGATGGAGGTTCAATAGTTGGTTGTTTTTCAAGAATTTTATACGGAATAATATTCATCGTAGGTGAATTTGATAACGATACAGCAGTCACCGCCATGTCAATTTCAACGACTTTTTGTTGCTCTTGCTGTTGTATTTGTAACTGCTGTTGCAGTTGAATTCGAGTTTGAGCCTGAGCTTGTTGGACTTGAACCTGAGCCTGAGCTTGTTGAATTTGAACCTGTTGTTCCTGCTGAGCTTGCTGAGCTTGTTGAGCTTGTTCCAATTGCTGCTGCGCAGATTTGACATCTAACTGAGGAGGAGGAACAGGTTCAGAAAAAAGTTTTAGATGATTTGGCCCCCCCAACATATTATTATTCAAAACCATTGGTGGTCCAATTAATGTTGGCATCGCCATATTTATGCCATTAATTGGAGGTAAATTAGGTGTAGTAGATGTGGTCATTGGTGATAGACTTAAAGCAGATGAAGACTTTGAATATTTCGGAATAGGAATATAACCATATTATTTCGTGATTATAGTTATTTTATAAAGGAAAAAAGAAAATATTTTCACATTTTTTTATATTGCGAGTAGACAGAGATTTGTATTGTTGTAGAAGTCAGATGATGATGTTGTTGTTGTTTTTGTTGTAAATGACAGATTGATTCCCAATGATATTTTGTAAATAAAGTTTGTTGATTAATATAATTATTTTTGATGTATCAAAACCACCATTCTATTATTCTTCCAAGTCAATCGTCTCGTAATAATCCTTAATAATACCCACTGACTCTTTTTAACCGTCATATATACATTTTCTCTTTCTTACGTATGGTAGATATGATTAAGCAAACGTACCTGAGTAGAATTCGAAGAAATCGAATTTCGTCGTGTACCTTCGTCGACATTTACAATCGACATTTGACTAGTGGTAGTATTTTGCACAATAGGTGTAGTTGCCAGTATTTGTTGGACAAGATTCGGTTGAGCCTCCAACATCGCCAACGGTTGAACACTCGCCCCATTATCCATAACAGGCACCGACGAGCCAGTCGTGGCATTTATCAGATTTTGATCGGTCATGATCCGTTCCAGTTCTCGACTCTGCGCGTTTATTATGGCCAAAGGAGAAGTGGCCGCGACTGCTGCTTGTACTATCGGATTTGCAGTCATTATTTCGCTGAGTTGTGGCTGATTGGCAGTTATAACATTCACTGCAGCCAGTATTGTTTCGGGGGTGGAATTCATCGTTGTTACAGCATTAAGAGCAGCAGCAGCAACTTGTATCTGATTCGCAAATTCTTTGTTCTCTTCAGCTCTCTTCACATTTGTGACTACTTCGTTCATTAGTTCTGTGGTGACTTCATTATTTCCTTGTGCTAGATTTGCCTCTACTTGAGCTTGGATAGACTGTGCAGCTTTTAAATCAGCGTCCATACGAGCTACTAATACAGCAGCGCCTTGTGCTTGCATGATTTCCGCTGGCACCACTATCCCAGCTTGTGCAACAGCTTGGACCATCTCTGCTGAAACTTGTGACTGGGCAACAGCTTGCGCGGTCCCAGGTTGAACTGGCGCCTGCGTAGCAGCTTGCACTATCCCAGGTTGAACTTGAGCAGTTGATCCTTGTAAAACTTGAGTATTCGCTATCTCAATCTCTTGAGTAAATTGTGCAGGAAGTTGTTGATTATTAGCTTGCGAAAGTTGAGCAACAAGATAATTATTAGCTGCTATTCCATACTCTAATCTTCGATTTTCTTCGGATAAAACAGCCACAGCATCTTGTTGAACCATTGATGAAGAATTTTGATTATTCACCTCGATTGCAGAATTTTCAATCAACGATATCGAGTCAGCAATTTGCATGGGCTGTTGTGAATTGGGGGTGAGGGATAAAACTGGAGGCAAAATTTGTTGGGATTGAGTTGTAACTAAGTTTGTGCTTGTATCAGAAGCAGCGAGACCAATTGCTTCTTGATTTGGCATTAAGAAGGTGCTGTCTAGCTCACCATTTTGTATCTCTGTCGACGCTTTTTCATTGGCAGATGAAGTCTGTGATAATGTCATTAGTTGAGGATCAAATCTCAACGTAGAAGTTTGATATGAATCTACAATTACTTGAGTACCGACATCACTCCAGACTGTACTTGCCGCTGTTGTTACGGCACTGCCCGCGGAAGAGGTCGTGCTAGTGGTGGTAGTATCGTCAGTGTGATTATTTGGAGTAGAAATTCTGTCAACTATAATAGAAGAATTGGTAAAAGTGTTCGTTGAGGTAGAATTATTATTGCTTTTAGTATTACTATTGCTGCTACCGTTGCTATTACTACTATTTACAATGCTAGCAGGCGCTTGAGTGGGAGTAGTTGTAGCGGTAATGGGCGAAAGTTCAATTGACGAATTTACTAAGGTGTCTGTTGTTATTATGGTAGTACTGTCGGTGTTTGTGTTATTGTTAACGAGATTACTGGGATTAGAGGTTGAGTCGGTTGAAGTTGGTGTTGTCGTAATATTAGCCGTTATTTCTGTTCCTACTGTTGGAGAAACAGTTGTAGTTGTTGAATTTGTAGGTGCTACTGTTGTTGATGCAGCAGTGGAGTTCATTGTCGTTGCCGGAATTTAGTTAAATTCAAAACTTTGCGTCTCCACTTTTTGGTATATTGTACAATTATTATTGTTTTTGGAACTAACAATATTTTCAACTACACTAGTATTATATTTTACTATTGTTATTTTTATTAGTTATATTTCTATTATAGTTATTTTTATTATTTTATAAATTATTATTAGAAAACGTGACTTCCACCTAGAAATAGTATGTTATAAACTTTATAGTATAATCATGTATGTTATAAATATAACTGATATTAAATGCTTGGGCTAGTCTTTTAGAGGCATAGTTAATGTAGTGTTCTTTTTTGTTTTTTTTTCGTCGTTGTTAAAGATCAATTGGTTGCCGTTGTTGTATCGATTTGGTTCAACGATTAAAGTTTCATTAAATCCGAAATTTAACTGTTCAGGGGTAGAACGATAACCAAAGAATTCAAAAGTATTAGAGTTAGGCAAGACAATGGGTCAATTACCAATCTTGCGTATGTCACGTGGATACGAAATTCTTAGGCCAATTCTAATGATTACTAACGTGGATGCGTTAAAACTAAATGTTAATGTAGGATTCTGTTCAGTCATGTCGTAGATAAAGAATCGATCCTCATCTTCTGTTTGGTTTCTGCATTGACAGATTGATCTTGTTCGACAAATATACCAGAGGATTGTTTCGGTGAATCTCTGGGTTCCAAATAGTCGGAGTTAAAAGCGAACTTTGCGCGTGTTTCACCACTTTCCGCATGTTTGGAGTCATTTAGACACATCTATGAAAAAACCAAACGCGTTAGCTTACAGACATGATGCATACTTTGAAATCACCCACCATCGAACATATATGATAAATACGATCTTTCCCACTTTTCTGTTTCCACTTGTGAAAGGGTGAATGAACAAGGAATGAAAGAGAGAATATTTTTATATAGAAAGACACCTTTGATATCCAAGGAATCCTGAGAAACAGCGGATTCTTGAGATTGCTTGTTTCCGATTACTGGATTACGGTTTTCAAGGTACGAGTTATCCTGGCAAAGTATAATCTTCCATGTCAATGCGCCTATGAAAGTCATCGTGTTGATGAGTTTGGCGAGAAAATTTGTATAAATTACGAGAATTTGTTGCAAGAAAAAAAAACGAAATATTTGACAAGGAGTTATGATAAGAGAATGATAAAGATTCTTTCGCGAATAATGAAATAACACATTAATGTTGTATTGTTTGCGCTTACATAAAAATGACTATCGCTATTTCAAGATCTATATCATTATTCCCTTTCACGTGAACCAGTATAACATTGCATATAACGATAAGGGGTGTTGAATATTTTCAGCTTTTTGAATGATGGAAAATGTTTCAACTTTATTTATTCTATATTGGTGATGATGTTGTGATACAATACAATGCTTTCTAACAAATAAAACTGTCAAACTAAGCCTAAACAAAAGCGATTTATGATAGCGAGTGTCAGCGAACTCGTCGATAATTTCTCGTACGCTTTGTAAATCACATAATAAGTATCGTTATACCTTTTTTTTTTTTCACATAATACCAATCCCTCAAAGTAAACAATGGTTGATTTTTTTTTAGCTTCACATGATTGTCCATAAGAACGCCGAACATATGGTTTTATAGCCTGTTCTGCAGTAAATTTCAATACTGGGTAATTAATTTGCAGTTAGACAAACACCGTATTCCATCGAGAACCTTTTATAGGATACTTGATCATCCCTGTAAATTACCAAGTTCCTACAATTATGAAGTATGAAGAAGAAACACGTTTGTAATGTTTGTTGAAATATTTCCTGTTGGCTGCCACCGCTAGTTCAAGTGACAGATTACCGTGACGAAGAAGGATGTGCAGGCGTTGACGTCGATTTCCATTTCGATCGCGCTCTTTGAATTCGGGCAGTACGCGATAAAACACAGTTATATATGCCAGAGAAAGGATGTGCTTAAGAACGATAATAAATTCGGCTTGGAATGCATTTGCCAAATACTTTTTTGAAAGTGAGATCGCGTTCATACAGCACTGGCAATTACATTCAAGTAGCTTTTTTTTAATGATGAAACCCTCTGATCCGTTCGATTTACTCATAGTTCAAACCGTTCAAATTCTTAACGTGAATGCAGAATTAATCTTGTGAGCACCATTACAGTTAAAACTCAGATGAATAGAGGTCATCAAGATCAAAAGTTATTCAACACGGTATTAGAATACCATTATGCTGCCTTCCTCGCAGAATCTGAACGAATATGTGTAGAAAACGCTTTTTCACTCCATTTTTGAAGTAGTCTTTAAACATCATCTATATTTTCCTATATTCATTGAATTTGGCATTTAAATCTTAAATAATCTTTTCTTCATATGGTGCAGCGTCAGGAGTTTGTAGTAATGGTTTTCTCGCTTCCTTGAATTTGTGTAGTCTTGTTTAAATCACATTTTGCGTTCTCCCCTTGAAAGCGTCTTGCATAACACTATCTTTTGTAAGGGAATAAAAGCTGCTTCATTACTAATAAAAAAGAATATAAGTAAACTTCGCCTTGTAACATTTTCGATATGCTTCTGAAAGTATTTTACTGTGTCACAATAATTTCAGCGATGCTATTGATACATTACTTAATAAGGATTAGTCTCGTTATTACTAAACCATTCCTGAATATATTTAGTTGAAGCGACAATTCTTTTGTTCTCGCCACAATAACCATTTTGCTAAATGAAACCTAAGCCCGGCTTTTCTTGCTCATGATAACCGGAGTCACAGTGAGTGGTGATATTATTTTATTAAAAACTACCAAGATTAACTGTCGAAATGTTTAATTAATGTTTGCGGTATAATCAAACTCAGGGTGTCACTTATATTGTTCTAATGCAAATCAAGTATGTTATTTCAAGTATTATACTGAATTGTTTTGACGCTTCTTTTGCATTGTACCTCGTAAATTACCAATGGCAAAAGTAAAGTTTTTGTTTTGTTGTTTGTTTCAAGTACACATCGCTCACTTTGTCATGATCCACAAAGATCGAATATATTTGGTTTTGTATTTTCCATCCAATTGTCTTTCTTTCGATATATAAAATCGAGTAATAAATACTTTAAAGTATTTTGACATAGAAACTGGGGATTGGACATTTTCTTCTTTAGTTGGAAATGATATTCATAGTGTTGGTGAATATTTCGGTCTTCTTTGACTTTTTTGGTATTTTCAAATCACTTGATCGATCACTTGATACTAACTACTAAATTTTAATAGGATTTCTGCGAGATCGCAATTTATCACTATCTATCTATCTGTCTCTTCTACGCACACGTTCTAAATCCGTACATATCTTTGTTCCCTCGTCTTTTTTTCTCTCCTTGATTACACGCATCCACGTAATACTTTCCTTTTTTTGTATGAAAAAATCCCACAGAACAACAGTAGCGACATTCATTTCTGTGAATGTGCATCTCAAGTGTACATGCAAAAATGTGTGGCATACGCAATGTATGGCATATGCAATGCGATTTGATAATATTGCAAAGACGTCATTTATTGTTGATGATTGGTATATATAGAATTATGCAGAACTTTATTTAAAAAAAGAACGTTGTTGTAAAAGTTAGTCATTTTTCGTTAACGATCACATCATATTTCTTTGTTGAAGATCGATTAGGGATCGATTTTCGTATTTCGTCAACAATGGACAAAGGTAATACATTATTGTTAATTTCCGGGCAAGAGTAATCCGCAGGTTTGGTAAATCATTATGATCATCGTGGCTAGTGGGTCTAATTCAGCCACAAAATATAATAGAACGTCGAAATTGAGAAAACCTTAACAGTAAAAATCATGGAAACTTCAAATTCTACTTCTACAAGCAACACGCAGTCTTCTTCAACATTGCCGAATTCGGCCTTTCCAAACCTGTCATACTTTTGTATATATAACCCTTCTTTTGGGCTTACCGAGGAAACCCAAGCAAACCAATTACTTTATTATGTCGCCAAAAAAACCGTCCCGATGGACATGCAGATGCGTCAAATTGGCTTGGCACAGGGTTTGGTAAATTTTACCAAGTATGTTAAAATTTCTCACCTGAACTTTGAGAATTAGATAAATGTCTTGTTTTCTTAAACCATTTGCTAAATTTTTCAGGGTTTTTTCACCTGACAAGCCTTGTGAAAATGTTCATTCCCAGAAAAATCGATTGGCTTTTTATGAACCGGAACCCGACTATTGGATACATATTGTAAGGTGCCTCTGACGAATTAATTCTTTTCAATCGAACTCATCTTTTGGAAATTTCAGGGCTTGCAAAATATCTAAATAGAATTTTTGATAGTCGATTGAATTAGGGTACATCAAAAAAACCATTAAAGATAAAGATAGCAAGTCAAAATCCGTCGTTGAATTTCTTGACGCAAATCTACATGATTCTAACATTCGGCGGATGTTAGAAAAGGGATATGAAATATACCGAGTATGTAAGAGGATAAACCATTCATTTTTTTGTATTACTGGTGTTTTTATTAAACATATTTTTGCTCTTAGATTTTCAATGGTCCCTTCAGTTATACCGAGCGAACCGAAGGTGTAAAAGCACTAAAAATTAAACTGGAAGAATTTTTTTCGAATTGGGTGTTTGAATGGGATTTTGAGAAACCGGAATTAAATAAAATCATCGATGGTAGAAAAAAAAGGCGTTCTCTCTGATTATCTATTCGATATCCTTTCTCTTGTTCTTATAAGATTTATCTTTTATTGTCAAAAAGGTGTTCGTTACCAACCTCTTTCAACAGCAGCGAAATCAGACATTACGTCTTTTGCTAAGAAGATCGAAACAGAATACCCCTTTATATCGAGTACAATCTTTATTCTATGGCAAGATAGATTAATTTATTGTGGGAAAGATGATGCTGGTAATGGTAGTGATATAGTAGACGCCGATATTCGAGAAATATGGCGGCATTTGGTTGCATTCTACGATGAGAGGGAAAAGAAAAGGAAAGAGGAAGCGGAAAAATCAAAAAAGATTAAAGAATCAGAAAAGGTTTTGTATTTTCTATCAATTTGTTTTCATTTCATAGTATTTTTCATAGCATTTTTGATCATATTTAGACGAACGATTTATTTTTTTTTTAGTACTATTTACCTTCTCTTAAAAGTTTCCCTCGCGTTGTACCCGGTGGACATTTACTCTCTTATTTCTCTGTCACTTCTCCCACAAAAGAGTCGCAAAAAGATACCACTACAGACCAACCGTCATCACCACCACCTGCTAGCATTGAAAAGCCAGAAGACACTACTACAACACCACCACCTTTATTATCAATACAATCAAATTTCCTGACGGATCCTACCACAGATCCAAAAGGGGCAGAGCAAAGAATTATCAACCCGAAGACCATTTTCCTAAAAAAGCAAATCGACCGAAGTAGATTTGGGTTTAAAAAAAGGGGAAGTGGGCATGAAAGTGATGAGGATCTTAATCAGGACGAGGAAGATGATTTTGAGAAATTTTATTTGGTTGCGCATAATGTGAGTTATTTTTGGAGTCGGAATCTTTGATCCTAGAAAAAGTATAACCGATCGATTACTAATTCTTGACCAACCAATAAAAGCATGATTCGTTAACACTCGCATTTCTAATACCGGTAACCTCGATCGAAGGTACTGCGAATATAGAGAAGACTGAATTCTATTCTTCGCTGCACGAGTACTTACTACCACAAATAGACGGTGTGTCAAAAGTAATTGAGGATGAGATAGAGAATTCGAGAAAAATTGGGTAAATTTAGATAACAAACTTTTAAAAGAATAATGTTACTTTTTTTATGATTTATCTCATTGTGAATTATTCAAACACAGAAAATCGGAGCCAGATAAAGAATACCGTTTCTTATTCTACAATAAATTGACATTGGCAATAAAATGCTCAATTAATTCTTCGGCGTCGTCAAACAATATTTTATCGTGGACTTCGGCTCCGAAAAATTTGGCAATATCCGGTGAAATGGCGCATGTATTGTGTGATGTTTATGAAGATCTGGAAAAGTAAGAGACAAAATAATCAGTTTTCTGCGCATGATTTTCTGCAAAAAAGGGTGTTGAGATTTATTTATGGAACTTTAAACAGATATCCACAGTTGACCGAAATTTATACCAAAGCAACAAGCAACTTTTGGGTCGTTGGCAAAAGATCCGAAGGGCGATGTCTCTATTTGGTGGTACCTAAGAGGGACGCCCCCATGTTGGAAGTGGAAGGTTTGAATTTGCTTAACGATGACTCTTCATTCATGGCTGTAACTTGATGATTTGAACATTCTTATATTATTACAGAGGATGCCAGAAAATTGTGCGCTTTGTATTTCTTTATGAAGTAAGAATACGTCCCGAAGTCGACGCTTAACGTCGAAGGCACGTGAACAATGTGGGAATTGCTCTGATTGATTGGTCTCATCTTAATCCAACCGATTGTTGATCATTAATCAGAAAGCTGGGATTTTAAGTGCAACGAGAATATAAAAAATAAGCTTCAAAGTAGTAACTTGAAAATTCCACAACTTTTGGATTTTGCCCATGTTAGTAAAGGTAAAGAAGATCCAACTATTTGAGAAGACATGGTTTCTAGAAAATACTTTGTAGGATGGATAAGCGAATAATTTAATAAAAAAAATCTGGTAATTGTGCACATAATGTTGCAAAATCAAAATTTGCTTGTCCGAAATGGATCTTTGATGCATACCGCGACAAAAAAACAATTAAACTGGATACATTGGTTGGAAAATAATTTATCAATAAAAATACACCAAGACTTAAATTTTATTCGTGTACTATAAATAATTTATCAGCCAAAAAAACATTAATGTTTCAAAATGCTCTGCCACATTCGCGTGTCGTAGACCATGTCGTTCTGTAGGATAAGATTGTAGAACATGCGGCTTATTGATTTTGACTAGCGCTGAAACTAATAACTCTGAATTCTTATAATGGACATTTTCGTCGATTTGTCCATGTACAATTAATAATCGGTTTTCACTGCATGTAATGAAAAACCATTTTAAAAAAGATCATGCATACAATCAAACAATCACGGTAATGAATCAAAATTATTTACCCATCTGGAAACTTATCAGCCCAATTTAACACACTTCCTTTCCGATATCCTTCAACATTCTCTGACGGCATGCCCATATACCGTTCAGTGTACGCGGTATCGTACAACTCCCATTGTGTTACAGGCGCGCCAGCAATCGCTATTTTGAAGAATTGAGGATACTGTGCAAGTGCCATCAGACTCAGATAACCGCCATAACTCCACCCGGTAATGGCGACTCGATCCAAGTCGACACCCATATTTCTCTCAGCCAAGTATTGTAGACCGGCGATTTGATCTTCTAATTCGACTGAGCCCATGCGATTTTTCAGGTATCCTTCAAAATAGAGGCCGCGATCCGATGAGCCTCGTCCGTCGATTAATACCACGGTAAAACCGAGTCTGGCCGCAAGAAACAGACGGAGATATCGGGGAAACTTGTAATCATTTGTTACCATCTATATAATATATGTATAGAAGTTAACTTGATCGATGAATTAATCAAAATAGTGAGATGATCTCATGTTGTGAAAAAGTTTAACCTGTGATTTTGGTCCTCCGTAAATACTCAATAGCGTCGGGTATTTTTTACCGGGTATATAATTATCTGGATGATATACGCATCCATATATAACCACACCATCCTTATCAAGAAACTCGAAAAATTTTCCTATAGGTGAAGTTGGATCACTATTGTTAACAATTCTACTGCTGCTGCTACTGCTACTGTTATTATACTTTTCATCTCCCTTTTCCCCCAAAGATTCAATATCAGTTGCCCCCTTAATGAAAACACCCTTCTTTTGGCTCACACTAGGAAATATTCTTCCCCCTTTTTCCCATTCTAAATAACGAACACCACATTTCGGTTTTTCGCTCAAACTAGAAAACCAGTCTAAAAATCGGTGGCAATGTTCATCCATCACAATTACATGACTATATCCTAAATCGGTCAATCGTATTATCTCGTTAGGATTTGACATCTCCGAGAAACTTGCTACGTATAGATGTGTTTCCAATGGTGTGTCTTTTCTCGCCATGAAATAAACAAGCTCTCGTCGTGTATCCACGTAAATTGGTCGATCGATAACTGGCCACTCGCCGCATGTTATTGCTCGAACATGATAATTGGGTGAATGTATCGATGGCTTTGTCACAAGATATAGATGACGGAATCCGCTGCGCTCTGATGATACTATGAGTTTTGTGCGTGATGATTTAAGGTGTGGCCATGACGATTCATGCTTATTCGTGGTGGTGGTGTTGTTGTTCAAGGATTGATTATCATCTTCGTTGAAGAAATAATAAATCTCGGTTACCTGAGATTAGTTTACCAAGAATTCATAGCAAATGAGAATATAAATTCAATTGTCGACAAAATAATCCATTTAATAAACATCAACTTTTACTCACATTTATCCATATATGATTTCGCTCTTCAAAAATGACTTCGATAAATCCTCGATACAATTCTTCGATTTCTGGCGTGCAATTTTGGTATTCCACAAGACTCATAAAATTACAGAGTGCAATTTTGACAATAGCTGTTCGTTGTTGGAGACGGTCAAGGAGCTGCACCCAAACACTTGATAATAAACATAAATTTTCCATCGAATCGAATGTTTGGATAAAGAGAGATTCAAATCAGCCACTATATATATATATATATATATCTATACAAACAATAACAATGATATATTAATTTATGAATAAACCTATTTCCACTAGGAAACCATCCAAACCGAACAATATATTCCATCCATGGAAATAGTTTATTAAGTGCAAAAGATCCCCACAGACGTTTATGAGTTGGGCCGCATGTGACTACCTCCTCATCATCATACTGCGGAATAAATTCGACGATTTGTAAATTACACAGAGCATTTTGAGTGCCTAAGATAAAATAATTCTGTAAGATTTGCTTTTATTCGTCCATGTCTTAAACTTATTTCCCCAAAGAAACACACGTATTTCTTACCAGCTCTAGGATAACGGTATTCGTCCATTTCAGCTTGCGGTCCTGGTCGCGGAATTACCACTAAATCCACCATTGATTCAGATACTTGTATGTATAGTATTCGTTCGGCATCATCTTTCTTGTAAGTATCAGATGATGATGGAGCCCAGTAGTAACCGGTGAATCGGTGGAATTCTTCCTTTGATAAAATAAATATTAATAAAGTATAGTAAAATTGTGTAGGGTGATTCATCATAAAGACGTGGAGAAGGAGATTCAACTGGATTTTGGCTTTTACCTGCATAACAAATTCTGCCACGCCACAGCTCAAAGCAGCGGAACCATCGGGATCATGATCATTGCAGAATGTTAATTGTGTTTCGGATCCGCCTAGAGTAGTTACCCATATATCTCGATCGCGTATGAAGGCGATCAAGTTGTTATTCCGTCCACCTAGCTTGGGGTCAAGCCGAGGAGGAGCAGAAAAATTCGAAGATGTCGAACAATAGGAGGGTGGTATGGAGGAACTAGGTGAATATGAAGACGGAGTAGAGTTGATCTGTGACATATGTTGTAATGGTGTATTGGTCATGCTGCTTTGATATATCACGGGACAACTCGAGTAAGGTATTATTGGATACGGATTAAATTCTATTCCCTAAGGAAGATGATTCTCTAATCAGAGTTGAGATGAAAACATTCAAGAATCAAAGATATTATTACTATTACCTTTCTAACCTGTCCTAAATATATCCCACTGCCATAACTGAACAATATCTGTCCACTATTAGGTTCAAACTGAAAACTAGTTATACCCTGCAACCCCATTCTTCTTCGCTCTTTCACAAACATCTCTTCTCGAGATAATGATTCTGACGTTGGCTTTTCTTTGAGCCATGAATCCGGAAGTAATGGGCTCCATTCTACTGTAGGAATGGTTGACGACAACGACGATGACGACGATATATTTAATGATGGTGACGACGACGATGACGACGACGATGATGATGATGACGACGACGACGAGTGTGAATTAAACTGTAGATGATGTCAGGAAGGAGAGAACATTCAATTCATTGTGGTTAAGATTTATATACATAAAATTAATCGAATATGTGCGACTCATGAAATATTAAATGGATATTGTGATTGAAAAGAATTTAAGTTTTAACAGCACGCAATGCAACAATGTTTGTACGACAAATGATCGGAGAAATATAATAAAGTATATTTGAACAGGTTATAATGGATGAATGCTAATATTAAAAGTATAGAATTAAATAACTCTCAATAGAATTATAAAGCATTCATGTCAAACTAACATCAATCGAATTAATCTACAACTAGAAATAAAGAAGCAAAGAACTCACTTTTCACCTGATATTCGTTAGAGCCAAAAGAAAGCTTGTAAGAAAGGGAGGAGGAAGCAGCAATAACCTGATTGGTATCTTCGCTGAGTTGCAAAATGGCGTTCGAGCAGCGAATTTCGGTATCCAACGGTTGTTGCAGCGGCGACAATGGTTGCGGTTTTCCCGTCTCATATCTACTATCATTATTATTATTAATATTATCAATTTCACTCAAATCAACCATGTATAACGTCGATGTCTTTACGCGTGAGGAGTCGGTTGCCAAAAAGTAGACGCGGTTGTTTTTTTGGTCAAAACAGAAATCTTTGATGCAGAATAGGTTTGTAGGTTGGGCAGAGCTACGGTAGGCTCGGACTTCCTTTCGTACCTGTTCCCACGTTGACATTTCTGAGGTGGTAGTGTTTTGTTGCAAGAATTATTTGAAGACAGCTGCTGCCCGCTAGGTGCCACAATTTACAACTTACTGGTTAGTTAGCAGCAGGTTTGATAAGATGTAGAACTCGGATAAACGTATGGGAAATTGAATGAACCATCTTCTATAACGGGATACTTTGTGCATATGACACTGATTGTTTCGTTTCACGGATCACGCGACACCATCATCATTATTATCATTATCATCATCATCATTATTATCATTGTTATTATTATTCACTTTATTTTATGACCTTCAACAACATAATAATTGTCTCGAGTAATTTTAGCACACTTCAACAACTCTCTTCCATTTGTTACTGCATCATCATCATCATCATCTTTTATGTCATCTCGTTTCTCATCAGGTCTAAGGCTAACACTTATACCCTCTGGCCAAACTCCTCGCATAGGTGGAACACCTGTAACATCGACCTCTTGAACGTGTTTTACAAAATGACATAATCGATTGATGTCGCGGACAAATGTAGCCAGATGTTCCGGATTTTTAGGCTCGCTCAGGTTACACAATCGGAAAAGGCGCCTTACTTGCTCCGCGTTGACAATTGATGTTGATTGATCATCTTTCAATGGGAAGAGTGATTTAACGGACCAAGTTGATTGTAATGGCTACGTATCAAAATTTATGATTATTTTTACAAATATGAATATTCTCTGCAAACGATTTTTCTATAATTACCAGACCATCTTCATCCGCGATAATTTTTTGTGCCGGGTTCTGTTTCTTTGTATTTTGTTCGCTTGTGTAGAATCGAGATGTTCCTATCGTAATCAAATTCGTTTTTATTCGACTATAAAATTGTATCTTACCAAGTGTTATACGGTGCATAATGAAAAATGTTTCAGATCAAAATACCCATCGTTTTGTGATAATCACTGGCCCTAAAAAGGCAAATAAAATTATCACATCAAAATAACTACAGGGAAGATCAATAATTTAATGCTAACTAAACCCAGAAAACTTATTTATAGTCAAAAAGAACTTTTTGGAGAACAATGAAAACATTCTTAGTACAATAAGATTCCATCGTGCTTAACTTATACGGTTAATGAATTTACTACCGTATTTTTCGGCAATTAGTACCCCGGGTCTCTTACATTCTAGGGGCTCAAAAATTGATTAGTATCCAGGTATATTATACGGGGGATACTTAACATGGAAGCCGTAATTTTGGGGTACTTTACATTCTACTCAACTTGTAACTGAGATTAGTACCAGGGTACTTTATCAGGGGGATATTTTATCAAGAGGGTACTAATTGCCGAAAATACGGTATATATGAAAGCCCTGATTCAATTTTAAAAATTTTTACATATATTTTATTATTATTATTAAGAACAATGTTTCATTCTTTGTGTACAAACTTTTCGCAACTCAATAAATATAATTATTTCACGTGGATGATTGATTTCTTGCTACAAATCACAACTTATTTTTCGATTGATTGAGATTCTACGCAATCAACAAAGCCCCTACCAAAGCGAATTTAGCGCGATGGTATTATCGTGTGGCCACTTGTATAATACAAAGTAGCATGTGTATATTTTTTTAGGAAGGAAAAATATTATAAACTATTAATTAATAAAATTATTGATAATAAACTGGATAATAAGTATAATAACCACCATTGTTAACAGGTGAAGATGTTGAGGAGCCTGTGAGGTTCTTTTGAGGTGTTTGTGGTAATGATGATGATGGTGATGATGATGGTGGCGGCGGCGGCGGCGGTGGTGGTGGTGGTAGTGAAACTGGAGAACCGGCTGCATATGGGATGTTGGAGTTTGTGGCAGCTGCATCTAAGGCAACAGGATTGTAATTACCTTCCATTGGATAATAATAATAATGCGGATAAATGTGAGGCTCGTAATAAAAAACAACCCCGTTTTCGTCGGTGGGATAGAGTGGAGGCGAATAGTGAGCAGTAAATGGTGATAACCCATTGTTCTCACCAAGGGTAGGAGTAGGAGCCCAAGCCTCATCGTGTGGATATTCGGAATTGCTATTTTCTTCTTGATTGTCGTTCACATCACCATTCTCTTTAGAAACTATCGCGGAACGTGGCATAAAAGGGGCTGCATGAATGGCTTTTAAAAAAATCAAAAAAAAATTAATGATACTCAACAAAAACTTTGACTTTAAAAAAAATCCAAATCCATACCTGATGCGAAGAATTCACTGGACGACATTTTAGATGTAGTTCCAGACGGAGACAACGTATTATTATTATTGGTCTCACCAGGGTTAGTAGAGTCTGAATTTGACTGAGCATTGGAGGAAACCGCTACCCGACGTGATGAGTATCGTTTTGAAGATTGTGAAGGAGCTTGCTGAGACTGTAAAGAATTCTTTTCTTGAGGGTCGTCATCTTCTTTCTCAACAGGAATAATAACATTTGGGGTCAAGAAAATTGAATCGTTCTTCAAATGCGAAAAGTCGATTGGCTCGTCACTGGAGGGTGAACTTATTCGCACTTTTATAGCTTCTGTTTGAAGACCACTATTAGAGTTTTCTGTGTTCATTCCATTGCCTTGGTGCTCGAGAATTATTTCGACTTCTGATTCTTCTGAAGATTCGTATAAATGATGATTTTCTTCCTTGGTGATAGGAGATTCGACCTCATTATTTGAAGCTTCAATTGATACGGCCACTACTACTGCTTTATTATCAGTCATAGAAGACACCATATGAGCAAAATTATCATTAACAGTTTCTTCAGAAATCGGAGTTGGATCCAAAGAAAAATTATTATTAACATTTGAACCATTAAAAGATTCGGAACATAACTTTTCCTTAGATATGGTGACAGCAGATGCGGAATTAGACTTCACATTCTCATTGGCAATTTCTTGTCCTTCAGTAAAACTACTATTATTTTCTTTGGTTGATGCAGAGATTATTTCAGCTTTATTTATAGAAAATAAAAATTCTTTTTTACCAGAATCTACTTTAATAACTTCTTCTTTGATAATTTCTTGGCTTTTAATAGAAATTGACAAAAGATTTTCTTCATTTGATTCTGCTTCTGCTTCAGCAAAAGAGGGCCCTTCTTTATCCAAATCAGCAATGACAGTTTCTTCGATACTTTTTTTGATTTTCAAAGTCTTATTTTGATCGGTGTTTTCCGTTGCATCGAATTTATGCTCCGGCGTATCATCCTGATCTTCGCTAAATCCATTATCAATTGGCTGAGACTCTGGATTTTTTGATTCTTTTTTGGTTACACTTTCATCGTCAGATACCGATTTTTTCGAATCAGCAATAACGACAGTATGGTCCTGTTGAAAATTATCATTACGAAAGTTATTATTATTATTTTCTTTGGTATGTTCCAAAGCATTAGATTGATAATTTCGTTTCCTAGCGTCAGTATACCGTCGAGCAGTATGTTCATGTTTTTCATTCTCTTGATCCGAATAATGACTATTAATTTTGGCACGACTAGATCCCCACCCATTACCATTCGATTTCGGAGTATATCCTGTTCGACCTCCTCTGAAATTATTATTGTTGCTGTTGTTGTGATTGTGATTGTTATCATATCTCGATTGATTTGAAGGCTGTGCACCAAGAGAGTTTCTTCGCGGTGGTTTTGCATGATTGTCAGAAGCAGCAGCATAGTTTTTGAAGGAATTATTAATATTATTGTTAGTTGGTTTGTAATTATTACGTGTTCCTCCGCCGTTCGTCATCTCTCTTTCAAAGGAATTTTTCTTAAACCTTGACTCGAACGGTTTACTGTTATAGTAATTGTTATTATTGTCATTATAATTATCATCATTATTATCAGCATTATTATGATGATGATGATGATGAAGATGATGGTGATTATTATTGAAATTATTATATTGAGGCGGCGACGGTTTGAAGTTGTAATTGCCTTGAATATTTTGTCGATAATTTATCTATGATAATAAAAAATATAAATTAAAAATTAATTAATTAAAACAAAAGAGAATAAATGTAACATATAGCATACATTATTACGTCCACGTTGATGGTTATATCTTTCTCTCCGTTGACGGTCCTCATCTTCTTCTAGACGCATTAATTCTTCAAAACCGCCGTGATCCCATCTCCCATTCGGTGGAGAACCGCCCCAGCCTCCTTTCCCACTAACAGGAAATTGATTTAATATAAAATATCTTATTAGGCAACAAATAATAATAATAAGCCAGCTTACTGTTGAGAGAACGGAAGTGGCAGTTTCCTACGCCGCCTGTCAAAATCATTTCTTAATCCATCATCCATATATCGATCATCATGCCCCCAAAACTCACCAAGATGTGGAACAAAAGCTGGATCCTCGACCAATTTTTTACGATATTCCTGTCTAGCTTGTAATTTTTTCTGCCAGGCAGTTAACGGTTTTTGATTTTGTTCTTGATGTTCTTGGGCTCTTTCTGTGTTAATGGTACTATTATCTGCTGTTTCTGCTACTTCTGCTAATGATTTTTCTTTTTCACCATCAGACAGGGTTTTCGGTTGATCTGTGTCTGATGATGACGATGATGATGAGGCGGCACTTCTTTGAATGCTAGGTTTCTTTTTAGCTTTTGGATGCACATAGATTTTCTGTTCGTCTGCCGAATTATTGTCAGAAAAGTCATGTTCGTTTTCTTCATTAATTAGTCGAGCTTTTTCTTCCGTGTATGCTAATTCAGAATCATTGGTTTGCGGCGGCAATTCTGGACTTTCTTTTGTAATTGAACTATCCTTCCCTTTCATATTTATCGTTTCATTTTTATTGACTATTTTATCATCGCCAGATAACGACAATTTGACATTTCCTTCAGCCGACGACACGCGATCGTTCTTAACTTCACGTTCATCACTCGACAACACTTTCTTACTCTCTTTCACTTTAGAAACACGATTATTATTGACAATAACTTTTTCTTTCTTCTTTTCCGCGTTCGAATTACTATTACCATTAATATTAGTTTCTTCCAACACCACCACAGCAGTCTTTTCACCTTCTTCAGCATCACTTTGACTGTCAGTCTCGTCATTCTCGGAGTCGTCGTCCTCCAAACTCCCTTCTTCCGACTCGGATAAATCACTAAGCTCGACACCTTTGGTCAGTACAATGTCTTCTTCGTCCTCACTATAGACGTCTTGCGACAAATCTCTTCGGCGTCTAAGGCGTCGCGGAATTATTTTCGACATTTTGGGAAAAAGGCGTGTTTGTTGGCGTGTGAATGGATTCTGTAATGTTTCGTTCGTGGTTTTACTTATCGGTGTTCATTCATATTCTCTCATCTTATTTATGAGATTTTGTTGGTCACGTTCTTTGCATCTGGACCAATGAAAAATGAAGGTTGGCATACAAACATCATATTTTTCCCAGAGACTATGTACTTGCTATTGAATTTCGTGCCATAGTGTACTTACTGTCCCATTATTATTATTTATTTATTATTCACAGGTCTAAAAGAGTACTTTGTATTATTATTTATTTTAATATTTTATTTATATTAAGAATGGATTTTTTTATGCGTAACGATAACGATAAATAGAACATGCCAATTTGAATTGACAAATACCCATAAAATCGCAATATGACGACATTACCGAGATATAAAAAGACAATTTACGAGACTCGCTTGTATTAGTCATGCAAATAGATTCTTGTCAGTCCAAATAATTCAAGTAATAAATTAATTCAAAAATTGGCTACACTCGAATCATTTTATCTCTTAGAAAAGTGTAACTATAAAACTATTAATAAAAAAAATTTTTTGGCTTAAACAATTTGTATATTGAAACTTTAGCATCGAAAAATTCTCACACTGTACTATTATAAAAAATTTAACTTCCAAGTTGATTGAAAACTGAAAGATTTTACTTTATCAAGAATGCTGATTAAGTTTGATCCCCATTTGATTCTTATTCATTTGTGAATTATCGATTAAACGGTAATTATAAAGAAATATATAAAATGTATGTAATTATAGAAGAGTTTGAACTAATTTCAATTTTGGTTATTATAAAAAATTAAATTTAATATAAATCTGGTTTATTTATAGTTGAACCTTTATATAAAATTATAAATAAAATTCAATAATAAGTTTAAAATTAAATAATAAAAATAAAAAATTTTATTATATATTTTATAATAATATAAAAAATTTAAAACCAATTTTCAAATTAATATATACAAATTTTATAATTATTTTTTAATTCAATTCATAAATAAATAAATTAATTTTTTTAGAATTATTATTTAAAAAAAAAAGTAAATCAAATAATTATTAATTAAACTTAATAAATATTTTAAAAAAAGTAAATCAGATAATTGTAAAAAAATATTAATTAAATTTAATAAATATTTTTTAAAAAAAGTAAATCAAACAATTATAAAAAATATTAATTAAACTTAATAAATATAAATAATAACTAATTAATTTCAATTTTAGTGATAAAAATTTAATACATACTCATTATATAATTTTAATTCTTTCTCACAAAGCAAAAATAATTTCTCATAAAACAAAAGTTTTTTTTTAAAGCAAATATTTGGAAATAATAATTTTTGTTTTTCAATAAAATTTAACTTGACTTGATAAGTATTTTAATTTATCGAACTTTTTCTTATGTTTTTTTAAGCACTTTATTAAATCAAGTTTTAATTATAATAATCATTAATATAATAATTTATTAAAATAATTACAATAGAATGAATTTATTATTAAATAAAAAATTCTAATCTTTAACATATATTTTAATTTTTTTAAAGTTAACGTTAATTAACTGAGAATTTAATAAAACTCTAATGATGATAGTAATTGAACGAACGATTCACATTTGTGAAATACAATCGTTCAGGTGAAATGTGATCAACATTCACGTGATAATTATGGTCAGCAAGTCAGGGGGCTGATAATTTTACCAACGAAGATCCCGCATTACTAATATTTATGTTTTTCATTAATCAGCTTGTAAGGTGTTAATTTTTCTCATGCCTGGATTTTTTCATTCAATTTGATCAGACAAAATCTTGGAAAGATTATTAGTTTGTGATTTGATGGTATAAATAGCTGTATATTTTCTCACAAATTGTTTCAAGTGTTTCATCACGTTCAAAATCAACTCCATCATCATCTTTAAATTAAAAAATAATTGTTCCATTGTTGTTCATTTTTTGATAATAAAAGCAGATATTTGAGATCTTTAGACTCGGCACACCATACAATCCAAGAGTCCAGTGTGGCTGTTTTAAACCTTAAATCGAGAAGACAACGTATATAATTATCTCAACAACAAGTGAGATTTAGTAAGGATTTACAAAAGCTCGATAAAAAAGCTTGTCCATCTTTTCTTTCTCCTTTCACACACACATACATACAGACAAACACACACACATTTTTATCCCATTTCGTTAACGAAATTTGGTTTCGCGCTTCATCTCATTTACACACACATCTATTATTATTGTTAACCTGCTGGATTGACAAATAATAATAATAATACTAATATACAATAGAAAAGTTCACTCTATTAACTAATTGATTCTCGCATAAAGAAGAAAGACCAAGAAAAAAAAAGAATTGGTACTAAAGAGACTATAACAATAGCCATATTAAGTTAATAAAGATGCAGCGCACTCCACCGCCCCAAGTTCCCTGGGTATCCACCACAACATTCCATAGTCTTCCAACACCAGCGCCCTCACCACAACTCTTTCCACAATTACCAGAAGCAACAGCGGAAAGCACATGCACCTCGACGACAACCACAATCTTATCGACCCAAGCTGAAGATTTCAGCCGCACAGTTCGAATGGGCTTTCAAAACATGGATAATTTACAACGACAACGACTTCTCGCCGAACTATTAAACACATGTAATACCGAGCAACTAGTATTTGTCTCGAACTATATCTCACCACGTTTGAAACGCGATTTCTTAAAAGACCTCCCGATAGAAATCAGTTTGCACATTCTTTCATTTATCGATGACCCAAGGACTCTTTCGAGAGCTTCGATCGTCTCAAAGTTTTGGCGTTCTTTGCTTAACGACGATTATACTTGGAAGAATTTGTGCGCGCGCCACCATTATTATTTTTATACTAAAAGATGTAATAGCAATATTAATAGCAGTAGTAGCCTATTACTAGAATCTTCAAGTTCAAATTCTCGATGCATGAGATTTTCTTACAAAGATCATTTTCGACGACGGTATGTTGTGGAATCGAATTGGAAAAATGGAGGAAGGACACTAAAAACACATATAAGTCCTGATTCGGGCGTTGTTACTTCTTTGCAGATGTGTGAAAATTTCATTGTTGTTGGCATGGATAACAAAAAGATTCATATATTTGGTGCATCGAATGGAAGATACGTGAAAACCTTGACTGGTCATGAAGGTGGAGTCTGGGCATTACAATATTATGATGAAGTCTTGGTGTCAGGAGGATGTGATAGGTAAATTCGATATGTTTCGTCCTCTTCTCTCTCTATCCACTCGATATTAAAAAATTGATTTTCTTTGGAAAAATCCAGAGATGTCCGAGTATGGAATCTCATCACTGGGCAATGTAAACATGTTCTTCATGGCCACACTTCTACTGTTCGTTCATTAAAGATGAAGAATAGTAAAATAGCTGTTAGCGGATCTCGAGACACAACTCTCCGTATTTGGGATATTGAAGAAGGTCGGATGCTTCACTTGCTTGCCGGGCATCAAGCGAGCGTACGATGTATAGAAATATACGAGAATTTGATTGTGTCTGGAAGTTATGATTGCACCGCTCGTGTAAGTTATTTTTTTTTTGCTATTTATTATCATCTCTGTTTATCGTATCTAAACATATCAATAAAATTTTTTTTAGGTTTGGGATATGTCGACAGGACAGTGTCTACATGTTCTTCAAGGACATTTTTCACAAATATATTCGATTGCATTTGATGGACAAAAAATAGTGACTGGGTACGTCATAATTATATTTTAAAGTTACACTAAAGACGTAATCTCAAATATCTCTATTAATTTATTTTCAGATCTCTCGACGCAACTGCTCGTGTATGGTCAGCACAAACCGGTCGATGTTTAGGCGTACTACAAGGTCACACATCTCTCGTAGGTCAAATGCAGCTCCACGAATCCACGCTAGTAACAGGCGGAAGTGACGGCGCAATTCGCATCTGGGACCTCGAAACCAATCAATGTGTTCATCGGATCGCCGCGCACGACAACTCTGTCACCTGCCTACAATTCGACGAAAAACGTATTGTATCCGGTGGGAATGACGGACACGTCAAATTATGGGATGTACAAACCGGCAGCTTTATCCGCGAGTTAACGACTCAGGGAAATGCTGTGTGGCGATTGGCTTTCAACGATACGAAGGCGGTGATTCTGCTACAACGTGAATCGAAGACCGTGATGGAGGTTCTTGACTTTGATGAATGTGATCATCTTAGTGGCGAATGTGATGATACATGGAACTGTTGAACATTGATTTTTTTATTTCACTTATTTATTTGTCCTATGTTTCTTATATATGCGTTGTTGTTTATTTCTTCCCCTTTTTTATCACCAACACACACTCTCTTTTCACTCAATCCTTTTTAATAGAGACTGTACAATATGTATACATATTTCGAAAATACCCACCTCTTTTTTACTCAATCTTCTTCATTCAAAACTCTAAGATTGTTATTCTAATATCAGCATCATTATAGATTTGTTTATTCTTTATTATTATTGTCTCGCGAGCGGGACTTTTATTTTCTCTTTATAACTTTTATTACCTGCTTTTTGGGAAACCCTGCTTCAATTCCGTTTTAAAATGTACTTTATTTATTATCATCCTTCCCACCTCTTTATTTGATTGTAAAATAATTCTTAAAATTCCAACGACCAATTTGTAAAACCTGAGATTGTTTAGTATTCTTTGCATCACCAAACCCAATCCGACGTTTCAGTTCAATCAAATCAAAAAATTCAAAAGTTAAAATAAAGGATTCGACGAATACACTAATTTCCGGTTTTTCCTATCTCATTCATCAACGAGCGTACATCTCAAAAGTCGTTTTTTGTTTATATAAACAAAAAACGACTTAGATTAGACTATTATAGTCTCAGGTATGTGTCGTAAAAAGCAAAATTCACGTCACTCGAGTGATGGGTAGATCTCAAAACTCAAGTCATTCGAGTGATGGGTAGATCTCAAAACTCAAGTCATTCGAGTGATGGGTCGATCACAAAATTCAAGTCATTCGAGTGATGGGTCGATCACAAAACTCAAGTCATTCGAGACAGCTTGTATACCCTTTAGAAAGTCAAATTCGATATTGATAATGTTTTAATCACTTATATAAATTATCGTATATTAGCTTAATGTTTCTGATCGATTTCCATTGGCAAATAGCCAGAGTATATGCTATCTAGTTCATTATACTGTATATACGCTATATACATGCTATCTAGTTCATTATATATATGCTATATACATGTTATCTGGTCATGCTATATACACGCTATCTTGTTATGCTATCGATTAATGCTACCAAATATGTATGCTAGATGCAAAATATCCTACTTCGTAGGCTCGAAGAGCCATTGCAAAGCAATAGAGTATATCACGTAAATGCTATCGATAATGCTATCATGTATATGCTATCAGACTATGCTATCAATTAGATATATATTCGAAAGCCCGATATGAAACAAGTGACAAAAAAAATAAGTTAACTTCGAGCATATATGTAAGAAGGCAGATATATATTACTGAAGTTAGCTACTCTGAGAACATACTCCAAAAACACACATGGGAACATGTCATCAAAAAGTAAAGCCTTCTGCCATTTTTCTTATATATTATTACTGCAGTTAGCTTCACCCGGTATATACCCCAACATATCATCGAAC